TATGTTCTTACCTGATCTGGCCTAGAAATTAACTCCAGACCCACAGCAATGTGGTTGACTCTTAAATGTTCTCTGCCCAATTAGGGATGGGCAATAAACGCTGCCTCGCCAGCAACACCCCTCTTCCCATGAATGAATAAAAAAAAGTTTGTTCACATTTTTAAGTTTGTTGGTGTTACCTACTTTAACTTTCCACTGTAACATTTGATTGGCTAGTTTTCCATTGAGATTCTTGTTGGTTGTCACGTGCAGAATTCCAAGTGAAAGATTTAGTAGATGGACCAACAGTTGACTTTTTTATCGTAGTTAATGTTGCTGTGAAACAAAGGTTCAGTTACCTGAGTTCGCTGAACAGCTGGTTTGCAGTGCAGAATGATGCCAGAAGTGTGCCTTAGATTTGCCCCTTGCCTAAGGGGTGGTGACCCTCCAGTTTGCCAGTCATCTTTGAGAGAGCAACTTTTTGATCTTCTGAAGCTATGGCAACTGTACCTTTTTTCCCTAAATAGGTGAATGTAATGCTTTGTGCTTATCTGCCATGTATATGAACATAGCTAAATTTAATTTGTGGCTGAAGGCTAACTATCTAACCTAAATCAAACCCTCCCAGTTTGACAAAACACTACCTATGTTTTGTTTTGGCTTCTGCCTTGCTGATTTCGCATTTAGTTTCTTCCAGCATATCCACCAGTGACGTCTTCCTAAACTTTTTGTTTCTACGCTTGTTCCATTTTGAATTGTTAAGAGCATATTGCACACGAACATCTAGAAGAAGAGAAATTCTTAAGAAAATGAAAATTTGGAAAATAGAAATACAAGATGATTGGTAGTAAGTTTGAAGTGGCACAGTTTTGTACTGTAAAGGGACGGGAAGATTAATCTAACTTGGCATTTATATTGTTTGTTCACAGAAACAATCTACCATGTCTTTTTGTTTGTGTTCGGTATGAGTTTTAAGTACGTAAATTTTTTTTTTCCTAAAGAAGGGTCTAGGCCCAAAACGTCAGCCTTCCTGCTCCTCTGATGCTGCTTGGCCTGCAGTGTTCATCCAGCTCTACACCTTGTTATCTCAGATTCTCCAGCATCTGCAGTTCCTCCTATATCTCACTCACTCACCCTTTGTTTTTCATGAATAGAATTCCTTATAACATGACATTTAAATAAAAGCAAAGTACTGCAGATGCTGTAGGTGTGAAATAAAACTAGGAAGTGTTTGAAAAGTTCAGCAGGTCTGGCAGCATTTATGAAGTTATAAAGGAATGTCAATGTTTAATTGACTTGTAGACCTCATTAGAGATGACCAAGCTTAATCAACTTCTGTGTGATATGTGGGATTAGGTGGAACATTTTTTCATTCACAGGAAAACCTATGCGGTATTCAGTTTAATTTTTACAATGGTGAAATGCTAAAAATGGGAACAGCAGATGACCACCTTAACATTTGAGTGATTTTCAGGTTTCTGTGGATTTTGCAGAAGTTGTGATAAATGGAGGATTTGGATTTTGGGTTTACAGCCTTGTTTCAGGTTGTCTGATGGCAGTCAATTAAGCTGTTGAAATATGGCATGTGTGGTTTTTTTAACATTAAATTTATTTGGATTTTGCTGGGCTGTATTTGAATTGGAATTTTACAGCATGTGTAACATTTTCAAAAGCTGCAGTTTCTAATGGTAAACAGATCTGAGAGGAATTCTTACTGTTTATTATTGGTCAACAGGCCATAGTTTTAAGTAAGCCAAAAGACAATTTTCTGCTCGCAGGAAAGCTTGCCTGTAGGCACAGCACTGCTTTCCCCAGCTAATAACTCCAGACTCTCTTCATGAGCTGAATGCTTTTTAAAAAACACTAGTAAGCACTGCTTGTAAATGCCAGGAAAAACTAGATTGCACAGAATAAAATTAGTGGTGTCAAAAGTGATTTAAAGAAGTGTGAAAGGAAATATCTAATGTAGTTAAGGCATTCTCTCAACAGTTGGGAAATTTGGAAACTCCACAAAAAGCTGAGTCTAACTTTACTGAAGATTTCAAAACTCTGACTAGTAGCCTAGTTTGTCAGAGTAGTAAGGGTTACATATTCAAAGCAGGCAATTAAGGAAGCTGAGCAGCCATGATCTAACCAAATGGCAGATGAAGCTTGAGGGATGAATAACAGCAGTTGCCCAACAGCTGTTCCCATATTCCAACTGACCTGTATTCTGGCCAGTTCAGTCTTTCCTCAGAGGTTTTGCAATTTTTGTATTACTTCAAAGTGCAAACAACTTTCATGGTTGCCTAACTACAAAAGTTTGCATTCTATAGCACTTCATCAAGGGAGTCTTAGACAACACCACCTTTATTAACCAATTGGTGTTTAGTTTGTACGTCATTCAATACTAAACTGATGGCTCAATTCGGAGCTCGATAAGCTTTGGCATAAGTACAAATCTTGTCTTCTCCCCTCCAGCAGTATGAGTAGAATTTGTACTGCCTTCCTTAAATGCTTGTGTGAAGGGGCACATTCTGCCTTGGGTGAATTGGAGGCGAGGCTGATGAAACTTGTGAATTATCTTCCAGTGTGTCTCCTTGTTAACATCATTATATTGTAAACCAATTACTTTTTTTGCAAGGCTTATAAAGGCACCAAATAATTTTAACCAACAGCTCTTAAATCATAAGCTGGTGTGAAATGTTGAATTGAGAATATTTAATAAATAAAACACAATCTAAAATGCCCTGTTTTTCCATGGAATATATGCTCCTTTGAACATTAACTGCCAACAAGAATCATCTGCTTTATATAAACTTTAGTAGATTGCTAATGCTGGTGTTTTGATTATTAATTTTTAACATGTTTTTCTTTCCTTTGATAAGTTTTTCTTTTTCTTTTCCCTTTCCTCTTCCCAAAGTGTATTTTAAATCGTGACAGAAGTTCGGTTAACTTGATTCATATTTTGGGCATGGAATGGTTTGAAGTTGCTTGCTTTACACACTGCAGTGTTCAATATGGCTTTGCCTATTTGTAGTGAAGATGTTCTAGAAAGGGGAGCAAAAATCATGTGATCTCCTTTCTTAAGCCCTGCTCCCATTGAGCATTGTTTGCCAAAGGCCTGGGACTGATTGTATGTTTGTCAGTTGAGGTGGAAAGAACATGGGAAAAAATAGATAATTGAAATTGCTGAAATGATTTGGAGTGATTATTGTTGTGAATGGTACTTGCTGCAATTGCTTCAAAGTTCATAATTCCTTTGGACTCTGAAATAATGTTTTAAACTGTGAACATCACGAATTGGGATGGGAAAATTGCACAACTTCAAAAAAGTTCAAGTTTTTGTGACTGATGTTGATCTTTGCTAATCTGACCCCGTTTTTATTATGGTGATAAAACACAATCTTTGTATACTCTTAAAACTGGAATTTGAATGTATAAATTTTTTAAAATCTAAAAATACTCTTTTTAGTTGAATTTGTGATGAAGGATGATCACATCACTCAGTCTAAATTTTTCTCAATCCTGCATGTACCTATTGCATGTTTTTTTAGTATAAACCTCATTGACTGGTTAACTGTTCTCAGAATAATGTGTAAGTTCTTTAAATTTGAATAATTGTGTGGACAGTATTATTACTATTTGTTTCTATTATTATTTAATTGAGTGAAATGCTCATCACAAGTATATTTTATTACAGTTCTAGCTATTCTACAGAGGCTGTGGATTTTGAAAGTGCACATCACTTGCATCCAGTGTACGACTCACCAAGGATGTCACGACGCAGATTGCGTCCTGTTAGCACAGAGTATTATTCTGCAGAGAGTATGCACAATGAGAGCATTGGCAGCAACCATTCTTTCACTGGAAGTGTCTTGTCCTATAAGGAACTGTCATCAAGGTAAGCCTTTATTTGGCGTGGAGGGCACCAATTAGGCTTGGGCTGATAACTAGTGTAAATGTTACTTGTGACTTGTCTGACAAGGGGATCTCGAATTTTAAGTCTACCTGCCACGTTCAAAGGCTTATTTCCCCCCCCCCGCCCCTTGCTCTCTCGCTCTGTCTGTCGGTCGCTCCATCTGTCAGTCTTTAAATTACCATTGATCAGTACCTGAACTGAATCTGCTATATAATTACTGTGGCTACACAAATAAATTGGCTGGGAATCCTGGCAAGTAACTCATTGGCTGACTTTCCAAAGTTTGTCGTCCATAAGCAATGTGTTGGAAAGTTTTCAAATTGCCTAGAAGTTTGCAGCTCCAACAAAACTTGAAGCTTAGCACCATTGAGGAGCACAGGTCAGACAGGAGTTCGGATGAAGGGTCCCGACCTGAAACGTCAACTTTCCTGCTCTGCAGATATTATTTGACCTGCTGTGCTTCTCCAGCTCCACATTTTATCAACTGACTTACAGCGTCTGCAGTCCTTGCTATCTCCTTAACACCATTGAAAATGGTTCAATGACACTTGATCCACTGTCTTAAATATTCCCTTCTGCTGGTGCACTGTGATAGCAATGTGTGACACCTATCTTTGAGGTGCATTGCAGCAACTTATCAAGGTTTCTTCAGACTCAACTTCTTTCACCTAGAACCAATAAGGGCCAGGAGAACTTGGGAACAACGCCACCTATAAGTGCCTCTGCAATTCATACAACATCCTGACTGCAAATGATATCACAGTTTCTTCACTATCACGGAGTCAAGATCCTGTAATTCCCCTCTAATAACCATGTGGGTACACTTACGTTACATTGACTGCAGAGGTCAAAGATGCTTCCTCATCACCACGTCAAGTGCAGTTGGGGTTGGGTAGTAAATATAGGGCAGCAATGCTTATCAGCAGAGCAATTTTTTTTTAATGATAGTGATCAACTGTCTTTCCCGATCCTTGTCTTGCTGAGCATAAAAAATCTTTTTTTGATAAATCTTTATCTTTAACTTTTTTCTCTTTTACCCCAAAACCAAAATCAAAGCCTGCAAATGAATTCAAAGCACTTCACTTGATTTAGGTTGGTAATCATGGTTCAATCTTTTGTATTTCTTCAAGATTTCAGACACCTGAGATACAAGGTAAGCTCTGAGTTTGAAACAATGAAAAGTGCAAAGTTTCTGGCAAATGAGAGGTTTTGTTTTAGTAAATTAAATAAATGGATTTTTTTTTTAGACAGCGACTCTTATTCAATAAGTTTCTTACACCTGATGTTGACTTTCATAATATTCCCATTTGGGATGGGGTGGTAGAGACAGCATGATTGTGAATATCTCTCAAAGTCAAAATGTGCGCTTATAGTTTGAAAGTTTCTTACCAGGAACTATTGAGAGGCACCAAGAATTATTTCTGTTGTTTAATTATGCAGCTGTAATACACGTAGTTTTGTTCTTGTGTTTACTTAACATCAAATCCTGATACCAATGGAATATGTTTATTTTATTTGGGCTTCCTCACCATTATTCTCTTTGAAATTTCAAGTAGACTAGGGAGACACAGGAAATCTGCTTCTAGATCAGTCTCGTAACTATTATGGAGCAGAAAGAGGCCATTTGGCCTACCACACCTGCACAGTTTCCTCAAATGAGTGTCGTTACCTACTGCCAATCTCCTGTGCTTTACCCGTTGTCTTGCCCACATTTTCTACCCGAATAATTATCACATACTGTCTTGAATGTCTCCATTGAACCTGCCTCCACTACGTTTCCAGGCAGTACATTACATACATTAATGACCGGCTATATGAAGAAGTTTTTTTCTTATTAACGCCCCTTTTTTACACATCACTTTAAATCTGTGCTCTCTAGTCCTTGTTCCTTTTGAGTGGGAAGCAACTTGTCCTAATCTACTCTATCCACACCGCTTATAAATTTGAAAACGTCCATCAAATTTCTCTCAGCCACCTTCTCTCCAAGGAGAACAGTCAGAAGTTGTTTCATCTATCTTCATAACTGGGCTGATCTCTTTCTATGACTGGCTTCTAAATTTTTGACGGTAGTCTTGAGGTGACTGTGCCTCTTTTAGTTAGTGTTTACCCAAATGTTAGACTTGGAAACTTGCACGTGTGCTCAAACTTTAATCTACTGTGGTGCAGTGTTATGGTGAAAAACATTAACATTTGTCATGGATCTTTCAACAAAGCTTTTTTTCCCCCCCAGAGGCACAAAACAGCAGCAACATAAACACTCAAGTGCAAGCAAGCAAACTGTTTCTGTATCTCATACTCCAAGAAAAGCCAAGAGTGAGTCCTCTGTGTCTAGTCAGAGCAGTATCCTCTGTTGTGGGACTGACACATCGATCTTGTCCACGGTACTGGACGAGTCTTCGATTCGAGAAAGAACAGAGTTGGGCCATTTCTGGGGTAAGCAGAGTTAAGTGCAACCTGTCAAACTAGCAATTAAGTATAATTTGATTATTACTGGTAAGTTTTCAAAAGTGTAGCTGAATTTAGGTTTTACTGAGCCAATTTATTTTTATGAAGATTATTAAAGGTTGAATTGGAGAATAAGCATTTGGAAACAAATCAGATCCACTTCTGTTTAATTTACATAATTTGAATTTTTCTGCCACAGTATCCACCCACAGGAGGGCCATACTGGATTATTTTTCACTGGGCTGTCTTCTTTTGAAAGAAAATTTCAGTGATTTTCAACCTTTTTTGAGCCTTACTGTTTGAACCTATGTATTTTGGAGTATATTCTTTAGTGTAATCCCAATTCCTTGAAGCTTCTGTCTTCCCTTCGTAGTCCAGTATTACTCTTAAAATGAATGTACAGCATTTCTTTTGCTGTATTCCTGAATTGAAATAGAAGTTCATGATGTTGATGCACTGTTGAACAGTGTTGTGTTTTTCATTTCATCATGACACTTTCCTTCCGTCTCTCTCGTCATATTTTTCAGCATTGTAGCATTCCAGCAATGGGCTTGAAAATTGACTAATGCTTGTAATGTAAGTGCACCAGGTGGCTGATTTCTGAGCCGCCTTAGAAGTACTTCAAATTTCTTTCTGGAACTTGCTGTATTTAAAATCCAATTAACAAAATCAATTTTTGGCTTCACTAACAAAAACTGGTCTCTGGTTTAGGAGAACAAATTTAAATGTTTCATTAGTGCATGTGAGTTGGACATTTTAAGTGAATAGAACTTTCTTGAAATTCCGAATATTAATTTGCTGTTTACCAGACTTGAGGTGGGGAGTATAATGTATGGTACCTGATTGTGTCAGAAATGAACTAATGCTCATGGAAATTTTTGAATCTTAACTGAAATGTTCATGCGCAAACTTGTCAATTGGTTTTTTTTTAAAAAAGGCTTAACATTAGATCTTATAAACAAATGTGCACTTGTTTTGAAGTCCATTTGTAGGTGGAGTATCACGTTTAGTAAATGAAACATAATGCTAGGAAATGTTATCTTAAAACGACAAAGAACTTTTGGGAAACCGCTTATACCACACAAGGGGAAGTAAGGGCAAAAAAAGTGCTAAAATTGTTCAATGTTACACTGCGTGCTGTTTAAACAAAACTGTACTTGACTAAAATTTTTAATTAATTTCAGCATCTGTGTGCTTCCACCACAAATGTGCCTGCATTTGTACACAGAGCCCTGCTTTAAATCCATTTTAGTAAATATTTTTTGAAGTGTAGATGCATGTGTGCTGCCTTTCAAAAGAGAATTGCTGTTTATTTTTGAAGGAAGAAGAGCGGAAGCCAAAAATAGCACTTATTTTCATTTTTAGGGTTAGAAAATTCTAAAATGTCATCATGCTCTGACATTTTGGTTCTGTTTCTTTAAAACAATACTTTACCTTTGAAACTGGAGATGAAATGTAGTCCAACCCAAGTAACTAGGGATCTATCAAACCCCGGCTACAATAATTGTCTTCTCCCAAATGTAAGCTAATACATTTGATTTCAATATTCTTGAGTGTTTATTAAACTTGACGTTTTATCAAGTGAATCAATCAACGGTAATCTGTTAAGTACTTAGAAAAAATTAGACTTTAAGCTTTGAATCAGATCATTCTTTTAGATAGGTCCACGTAGAATTGTTGTAAGAAAGTCCCACGTTAAGATTCTTCTAATGCTACTCAGTTAACAAAGGAGTGCCAGAACTGATTTTAACACATTTTGGTTGAAGAGTGGATAATATGCATGGTTTTGACTGCTGTGAGCTTATTCATTGAACTCTGCTGGAAGATGGGTACATGTGGATGAAGTGAGAACTAGTTAGAACTTTGATACCTTTTAAATGCATCACTTGGTTTCATTTGCTGCCTAAACTCATGGCCAAACAATTTGGAAAAAGGTAGAAAAACATTGTTGCAAGTGTAATTGAGTTCTGCATAAGAAATGGTGTTCCATTTCCAAATCCATAATTGATGTAGGAACAAATTACTGCAGATGTTGGAACCTGTACAGAAAACCAAACTTGCTGGAGATCACAGCAAGTCCGGCAGCGTCCAGGAGAGAGCAACCTAACATTTCACGTCTAGATGACTCCTCAGAGCTGATGTGAAGTGTGGAGGGCAGTATTGGAATATGAGAATGGCAGAACAAGTGTACCTAACTGGAAAAAAACAGGAGGTGGTTCCACTGTAATGGCGAGTGGAGACAGGACATAGTAACTGAGAATGCAAAAAGAAAAGCTAAAATAAAGGGAAGGAATGAGAGTACATTCACAATCTGAAGGTGTTGAACTCAATATTAAGTGCAGAAGATTGTAAAGTACTGAAGATATATTGTGCCTCCAGCTTGTGCTGTGATTCGCTGGAGCATCGCATAAGTGATGAATGTTGCTTTACAGACAAATTCTACATAAAGAACAACTGATCACCTGATGTACATAGAATCATATAGCAGGGAAACAGACCCTTCGGTCCAACCGGTCCGTGCCGACCATAATCCCAAACTAAATTAGTCCCAACTGCCTGAGCTTGATCCAGTACCCTACAAACATTTCCTTTTCGTGTACTTATCCAAATGTCTTTTAAACATTGTAACTGTACTCGCGTCTACAATTTCCTTTGGAAGTTCATTCCACACACGAACCACTGTTTTTAAAAAAAGAAAAACACCTTCCCCCATACCTTTTATAAATGTTTCTCCTCTCACCTTAAAAATTTGCTTGCTCATCTTGAAATCTCCCACCCAGAGAAAAGACACCTGCCATACACCATTTTTGTGTATTATTTGCTGGAAATGTATTCAGTTTTTTAAAAATTTACTTCACGATGCAGTTGAACACAATCAGTTGCAGTAAAATGAATACTTTACACTTGTGTAGTGTCTTTTATGACCTCAGGATATATTATAAGTTTTATATCAGTGCAGAACTTGTTGAAGACTGTCACTTCTGATCACACAGGTATTGTATTTTGGTAATGGTTTTGTTATTTGAATTAAATGTTTTGTTCAGCATAAAGCATTGTTTAAACTGTTTCTGCTGATAAAGTGAACCCTCCCTTTGAGAATTAAACCTGAAATATCTGTGCTAAGGAGTATTTGCATCGTTTCAATCCAATGACTAAAGTTGCTTGAGATTTTTGCTAATTATTGTAAAATTGAACGACATTGAAATCTACTTTGCTTGTATTTACATAACAGGTCTAGATGATGAGGATGGAGATGTCAAAGGTAAAGAAATCTTCAGCTGTTAAGACTCATTTACCAAAATGTTCAATAACACACTTAAATTGTTTGGTATTAGTGTCAAATCTTGGTTTCTTTGTTCTTTAGGAGGAAGTACAACTTTTCTCCAAGCAAATGGGGACATAGTATCAGGGGGAATGCAGACAGCCATATTTAATGGTTACACTTGTAATGACTGCAGCATCCTTTCTGAACGAAAAGATGTTCTCACTGCATACTGTCCCTCCCATGCACCCTCTTCAACTGTGTATTCCAGGAGCAGAAACAAGAAAGACAAGTCAAGTAAGTGACTGGCGTATAGAAGACTCCATTTAATAGCATAACTAGGTAGAAATACTGTCTGGCTGAAACTAAACCACACGAATTAGTGGCTGCAGGACCTAAGAGTGATGGTTCTTTTTGAGAACCACACTTCTGCTTGATATTGAGTGACTATTGCTGTACTTGGAGAAATCATATGAGGATGTGGTTAGCTCGGCTGTCATTGTTACTACCACATTTGTGACAAAATAGGCTGTTATTTAGATTCGGCACCTGCTGAGTTATTGTCTGATTCTGGGCGCCACACTTTATTGGCATATGAAGGCTTTCAAGAGGTTGCAGGAAAGGTTTTATTGTATTTGCTGTAATGATAAGGGAGTATATTTGTGTGGATAGCTTGGAGCATTTGTGATTTTTCTTGCCACGTGAGATGGCTAGGACGGGATTTGATGGAGGTATTTAAACTTACGAAAGATTTTAATAGAAATAGAATACAAAAGAGAGCAGCTTTGAACATGACAAGAACTCTGAGCAGGAGTTGACAATCTAGCCCCTTGAACCTACTTAACCATTTAATACAATGGTGGCTGATTTTATCTCTGCCTCAACTCCATCTTTCTGTGCACGCCATGTAATCCTTCAGCCTATTGCTAATTAAAAATCTGTCTCCTTAAATTTACTCTGCCCAAGTACCCACTGCGCTTGAATAATAGGGTTAAAAAAAAGGCAATATGATTAATAATTTTTTTCCAATTAATAGAATATATGCTTGACCAGGTAGTGGATAAATATTCGATTGTAACCCTCAAAAGGCAACTGGATAAATATTTTGAGGGGGGAAAAAAGTGTATGGATAAAGGGTGGGAGAAGTAACTGGGATCAAATAGATTGAGCTTGGAAAGAGTTGGCTTAGACTCTGAGTAAAAGGCAACCTTCTGTACTGTTCAGTGAGCAGGATTTCATGGCTAGTGGTGCCTGCTGCTAAGAAAACTGCCATGAACCCACTCCTGCTCTTGTGGGCTGCCTCACAGCCATTTAGCTAGCTGTGGCCACCACTGGAACTGTATCCACTGGCCATGAAAAGGGGGCCCCTGAAGAAATTTCTCCCTTGAAGGTCCAGGCAGATGTGTTTTGGCCATCAAGGTTTTCAACTGGCATGAGAATCGGTGGGCTGCCAGAAGCCTTGTTTTTTTACTACCAGCTAAATCATGGATAACTCATAAGAAATAGGAACTGGATTAAGCAATCAGCCCTTGAAGCCTGTTCCCGTCTTCAATAGGTTAATGGCTGATCGAGCATCCCTCATATCCACTTTCATGCATTTTCCCTGTAACCCTTAGATTCCTGATCAGTAGGGGAATTATCTATATTGGCCTTAAATATACACAAGGGTTTTTCTCCCACAGCCCTGTGGCAAGCATTTCCAAAGAACTCAACCCTCAGAAGAAATCCCTCTTCATCTCAGTCTTAATTTGGCACCTGTTTATTCTGAAACTCTGCTTTCTGCTCATAGACTTTGCCATGAGAGGTAACATCTCAGCATTTACCCTGTCAAGCCCTTAATCCTGAGGGTTTCAATGAGATCACCTCTCATTCTTCTGAACTGGAACTGTTTATTCTTTGCCCATAAGATAATCTTTCCATACTGGCAATAATCCCAGTGAATCTTCTCTGAACTACTTTCATTGAAATGTATCTTTACTGAAGGGAACCACCCAGCTCATGGTATTCCAATGTCAGCTCACCACCTTGTACTGTGGCAGAAAGACTTCCCTACTTTCATAGTCCAACTCCCTTGAAATAAGGGCTAACATTCCATTAGACTTCTGATTATCTGGTGCTTCTGTGTGCTAGCTTTGTGTTTCATGCACATGGTACCCCCAAGTCCTTTTGAGTTGCAGCCTACTGCAGTTTTTCTTCATTTAAATAATCTGTTCTTCTCTCATGTTCTCCCTTCCAAAATGAACAATTTCACATTTCCCACATTATACTCCTTTTGCCAACTTTTTCCTTCCTTAACCCATCACTATCTTGCAACTTGGATTTTCACCTATTTTTGAGTGTGCAATTTGGGCTACAGTATATTGACTTCCTTCCTCCTAGTCACTAATACATGTTGTGAACCGTTCTGGTGCCCGCACTGATCTGTGGAAGCCAACTGATCACAGGTCACCAACCTGGAAAAGAAAGCCCTTTGATCCCACTTGCTGTTTTCTGCCTAATATCTAATTCTCTATCCAGGGTCTATCTTGTACTTAACCATTTGTGGGGTGCGTTGTTGACTGCTTAAAGCAGCAGTTGTTGCATTCACTGGCAAGTGAGAGCAAAGAGGAACAATATGCAAAAGTGAAATCTCTGGGCAGATGGAATAATTTTTGCAGCAGCTGAATTCTAGACTCTTTCTGGATGGGGAATCTAGGGAGGTGGCAACCTGAAACACCTCCCTACGTGGGAGGTGCGGAGACATTTGTTACCCTGAGCTCTATGCAGTTTACCCTTGGCCACACGTTAATTTTAACAGCAAGAAGAAAACTCTTAAAGAACTGCAAAGTACATGAAAAGGGGGAAATGTGAAATGGAAGGCCAAGGATAAAGCTAATTGCTGATTTTATTTGAAGTCAGCAGTTAATGTACAGCTTCCTTACGAGTGAATTCAGTGAGTCAGACTCACTGCAATATGACAAATTTACATGGTACATCTCTCCTTGGATTGTATTGTAGCTTTGAAATATGCCCTGAAGTATGAGTTTTAATGTTCTGCATCTTGATCTCGTGCTGAATAATTTATTTCATAAACTTGTTGGCTGTTACTGTAAATCAAGGTGGGAATCCTTATTGTTCTTTGTGGGAGGAGCTAGAAATTGAAGTACATAAATTTAGACAGCATTGATTTAAAGACTGGTATAGTGGATGTGAGAAACTAAAATGGAGTGTAGAATTATGCAGTACTCTGAAATTAAAATTTTTACTGAATTTTCATTTTCACGGTTTTATTCTAATAAGTGTATTGTTTGCTTGAATTCAGTTTACCAAAATTTAATTTTCTTAGTCTAATCAGCAAAATTGAATACCTTAACCACCTGACTTTACTGTAGGATTTTTTCTAGCTGTAACAGCTATGCATAAGTGTGATAAGTATAATTCTATCCTGGAATTTTTATTGTAAATTAGTTGCATTTGATTTTTATTTTTCAGGAGTGCAGTTATTCATGAATCATACAGTCCACATGACAAAATATGTTGTGTCAACTGCAGTCGCATGGTTTTTACAACTTTTTCAAACACTTTTGTTGAAGACTGGTTTTTACTCCAAAGGTACCCAACTATTCTGGAGTGAACCAAGTGCTTGCATGTTCTTCAATCCGTTGCTATCTGATTGAGACCATTACTTTCTTCTCTTCCCCTGTTATAGAATGCTTTGCCATTTTACTATTTCTCAGGTGCTTATTCTAAAATGCATAGCTGAAATATTCAAAACTTCTCAAATCACTGCTATTGTATATATATGACGTGAGATATCTTTTTGTTAACATCACATGATCTTGCCTGTTCACTTGTTTAAATTTAGCAGCATGTCACCGCTATTTGCACCTTTTCCATGAGGGCTGGCCAAAGTCAGCTTCTAATTGAGCAGGAATTGGGTATCAAGATTTAAATAGCTTTGTGCTTGTTTATTTAGGTAAATTCTTAAAAGCTAGCTCATTTGCATGCATGTGTAGTCCTGGTTACATGCAAATGCAGTGACTTCACTACTCATTGGTTTGACAAGTCAAGATTTTTCTCTACAGTGTTTTTCCCATCTGAGAAAGACAGCTAAGGATCAGTTTCTGTGTTGCAGCCCATTCAAGTTACTGTGGAAGAATGAATGTAAAAGAGTTGATTACTGGGGATGGACACCTGAATATAAATGGGGAATCTTTGTGTAAGTATTTTGGTTTGATACCTGCTGTTGCCACTTCATTCCACAGTTGCTTGTTGGGGGAGAAATACACTTGACCACAAATTGGGTTGACACTGTTCACTCACTAATATATTGTACTACCATAACCAACAGGTGATGACTGTAAGGGGATGAAACACGATACATATAAATCCACTGAGGTGGGGTCCGCAAAGTACACGAAGTTTACACAAGTCACGCGGACCATCTGGCTGGTCATTGCTTATGCAGGTTGATTTTCAGACTTCTACTTTGTCCTCATGCTTTGTTGATAAAACTTTGGAAAATGGTGATATCTGATGCTCTTAGAACACGTTTGGGATATTTGGTGCATTAACATTTACGCTATATATTTAGTAAAGTAAAAGTTACACCAAAAAAATTGAACATTTAAAGTTGATGTGTTGCAGATTGATCTGTTTTGTATTTGTAGGCTCTTTGTTGCTGCAAGTGATGCAGGCTGCTGGTGCTGTTGCCTGGTTTGTATCCAGGAAGGTCTTATCTATTCTGTGGTTGGCCATTGTATCTCCAGGTTACTTAATTTTTATTTTTCATTTTTGTTCTGCATCTGTTCCATCTCTTCATTTTTTGCACGCTTGGCTCTAGAGTTGGTGTTGGTCCATGTATACTTGGTGGTAGAAAAACGCAAGCATAAATTTCACCAAGTTTCATATATCCAGCAATATCTGTAATAATGTGCCCTGGCTTAATTTTCTTCAATGCAGTATATTTGCACTCTGGATTTATGAATTTGTTCATATTATGTCGGATTTATAGTTTGGCTAGCTTATACTGATTTTTAAAGAGGATTTCCACCTACATGAACCACTTTCCAGGGTGAGCACTTGAATACTTGATTATGCATCAGTCCTGTGCATTTGTTTCCTTTTTCCAGGAAAGGCTGCTTCTGGAGCTTTCTGGTGGCTTGGGACTGGATGGTACCAGCTAATCACTTTAATGTCCCTCCTTGATGTATTTTTGCTCACAAGGTATGCTGAGCTTGCGTGAATGAGCGCGGTTTCAACTTGTTTAGCAGTGAAAATATGCTTGTAAATTGGTTTAGTTTTCGAATATCAGATGGTTATAATCTGGTTTAGTGATTTTATTGTTTCTTCACATCCAGGTGTCTACCCAGATTGTTCAGATGGTTATTCCTGTTGATCCCATTTCTCCTTTTATTTGGTAAGCAAATGCTAAAGGTTTGAATGAGCTGACAGTATATGTTAAATATGATGGAGCATGGTGAAGACACTGAACAAAGCAATAATGTCTGTTAAATATTTGAGCATGATTATTCCATGTTGCGATGCTGAAACTGAATTTTGAAATTGACATTCTCAACCAGGGTTCAGTCCAACTAGAAGGATACACCAAACTCAATGATTTTCCCTTTTGAATTTGAGACTCTGCAAACAGTGTAATTAACGTGCTGCCTGATCTCTCTCCCAAATGTCACCTATGAAGAATGATTATCACTGTGGAGAGAGATGTACTTCATCCTGAAGATCCCACTTGATCAGCATTTTATCTCCAGATGCTTTTGATTGGTGGACCTGTAAAACAAGAAAGGTATGGTTAGGCTTGCAAGAAAGATAGCCCTTTATTGCTTTAGATAAATTGTGGGCTTGGACTTGTCCTTGAACTTGAACTTAAAATATTCAAGGTTGAGCAATTCTAACTCCTCGATCTCAAGGTGATTCATAAGTTGACAATTTCCATGTATATCATGCTTGTGTTCAACCTGAGTTCATGGAAGATCTGAAAGTGGACCTGAAGGAAAATTGAGTTATGTGGTTCATCTACCACAGGACAACAGTATTCCTTGATCATTTAGCATTTGAAGTGCCCAGCTAGCCCCATACTAATTCCAAAACACCCTGATTACCAAGTTTCTAAAACTAGGTTGTTTGTCTTTTTTGAAGTGGAGTGGTGATTCCACTTCTAATTTATTCCCTTGTTTGGGAAGCAGGTAAGCAAATTTCAGCAAGAAGTCTTCCTACAACCGGATTCAAACATTTCAAAGCAAATGCCATTCAAAAGTAATAAATTGTCCTTTTAAGTTAGGAATAAATAAAAGGTTTATGTATAATGGCTGGCTCAGTCCTACTGAATCATCAATCCAGCCACAACCTTGTTGCTCCCTTGATGAAATCTAATGTTTTAAAAGCATTTGAATTTACTCTGACTTTATTGTCAGATATCTAACAAATGCGATGCTGGAGGAGGACCGGAATACAGGAAGGAGATGGTGCATGGTGCAGTGATAACAATCTCTCTTTCTCAATGTCAGCAAAACAAAAGAATTCATCAGGAAGATTTCAGGAAGGAAGGTGGAAGACATGCCCCTATCTACTTCAAAGGAGCTGAGATGGAGAGGGTCAACAGCGTTAAGTTCCCAGGAGTGACGAAAACCAAAAATCTGTCCTGGACCAATTGCATAGATGTGACTGTGAAGAAGGCACAACAGTGCCTCTTCTTGCTTAGCAGGCTTAGGAAATTTAGCGTGGCCATAAGGACCCTCACCAACTTCTGCACCTGCACCATTGAAAGCTTTCTATCCAGGTGCATAACGGCTTGTGTGGTAATTGCTCTGCCCAGGACCATAAGAAGTTACAGAAGGTTGTGTGCACAGTCCAGACTTTCATGGAAGCCAGCCTCCCATCTACACCTTCCATTGCCACGGAAAGCCTGCCAACATCATCAAAGATCCCTCCCACCCAGTAATACTCTCTTCCAACCTCTTCCATCAGGTAGAAAATACAGAAGCTTGAACACATACCAACAGGTTCAATAACCGCTTCTCTGCTATTATTAGACTGCTGAATGGACCTCTAATTTCAAATCTTGATTTTGCTTTTGTGCTCCTCCTGTAGCAGTCATAACCTTGTATGCTTTGCTCTAGGCACCCTATCTATGTCCTTATTTGCTATGATCTGCCTGTACTGCTTACAAAACAAAACTTTTCACTGTACTTAGATACATGTGACAACAATAAATCAAATCAAAGCCTGTGAAGAAAAACAAAATGTGCAATGACTTAAAAAAAAAAATTAACGGCACTGGAGATCTAGACAGTATACAACTATCAAATTTCTACTTGTAGCAGTCTTTGATTTAGCAAATCTATTGCAAATGATCCTATGAATTTGGAAAAAAAAAGTCACTAATGCTAACCTGCCTTTTCTCTTTTTAGTTGGTCTCTGGTACTTGGGTCCAGCAGGCTTGTGGTCACTATTGCCAGTCTTCAATGGGACTGCAGTACAGCGTTCAAAAGAAACTGTACCAACTGTCCAAACAAATGGGGAGACTCCTGGTTCACTGCCACTTCCACGGGTAATGCTTCAGCATAGATGTGTTTGCAAAGTGAGATTTCAGGTCTGAAGTGCAACTTTGTCAATGTACAACTATCTGTTTCAGAGTACTGGGCATCCATTCGATTGGAGTCGTGTGACAGAGTTGGAAAAGCAGGTTATTGTACTTAATGACCAGTGTTCTCAGAGCTCCCTTGCTTCAGACCAGCGTTATAATCAGCTTGCCAGTTTGTTACAGAAACTGCAAGAAAAGGTGGAGAAGATGAACGATGAAGCACTCGTGGTCCTTACCAGAAAATTAATCAGCCAGCACTCTCATATGCAACAAAAAGAAGTGAAACCGGAAGGAACTGATCATCTCCAGGTAAATTACTGAAGTCAAAAACTCCTGATGAGAGCAAGCAACAGTCGAAGTGATCAGATTTATCAACTGTGTAGATATTTGGTACATCAGGGTTGCAACAGCTCTGGAATACTGATTTGATTAATTTCAGAGTTTAATGTGATAACCATATTTTAATTTTGTCTGCATGCTTACAATCAATTTCACATGTTACCTGATTGTAACCTTTGTGTCAGGAGGAGTACAAAGCTCAGTTGTTGATTTTAAAGTCTTGCTATGGGGCCAGTTTTTTCCTACTGCCAAGTTTAATCATGAAACCCAACTTAAACAAATTGCCACGTGGGTTATTTTAGCTGTGATTTTATTTGAACTGCTTTACATTTCAGAATCCACCTGGATGTGTGGATTGTTGATTGAGCTTGTTGCTGTTTTCTTGGTCAAACTCATCATTTGCGTTGTGTAACTATCTATATGTCAGTATTCATGACTAGCCCAAGGTGCATGTACCTCGCTTGGGAGAGCAGCTCCACAGTTTGGGTATTTAGTGCACAAACAAATATCCCTCAAATTATCCATTGTCTGGAAAGTATTCTTGACTGGTGAAGATTTGTAATCTTACTGAGCAGTTGGGACTGCACATGTAATGAGAGTCCATCATTGGAATTGATGGGATTTCAGCTGTTCCACCATGTTGATGCCACTAAGTTCTGAAATTCTCTTTTGAAATGATCTTTCGATGAGTAGCGCTCTTGCTCTGCAAATACTTTGCTTAAAAAATTCAGCTTCTATAATAAGGATCTTCAGGTACATGGATGAATTTGAATTTTCCAAAAAGCAAGCTGTTCTACTGATACAAGTGCACAGCTCTCATGGCATTGACTCCTAATTCTTAGTCTTGCCCTCCATGTAATTTTCAGACAACTGATATTAGAGCCAATCCAGTTAAGGAAGAGCTAAAATTTTAGAAACCTTAGTTGTTTGTGTTAGGACAAATCCTCAGATGACGATCCTGAATTCGCTGCTGTTCTAGGCAGGATATCCCCAAATGCTTGTGCTCCAGGGTGAGAAGGATTACCCGGCTCATCTTAATTCAGATCCCCTCTTGGTTGCAGATAGGTGATTTTAAAAAAAGATTCCTTCCCTTGTCGATAACTTTTACCCCAATCCAAATGTACTTGTGCTTTCTAGAGTTAAAGTATGGGATGATTAGCCACTAAATACGTGAAGTGATAATAAAACATGACACGTACAGAGACTAGAAATGAGAGTCGAATAAAAAGCAAACAGTTTAAAACAAAAGAAATACAAATCCATTCTCTGGGTTCTGAGGAATCGGCAGAACTAAGCAGTTAAGTTGGATCATTCTGATGCCACTGGTAATGAAGCAGTTGCTTTCTTGTTTCTTGGCGCTCGTTGACTGAGACTTTCTTTTCCGGTTTCCTTGATGGTGACTTCATTGGATGGCCTAGCTTCCGGTATTTAGTGAATCATAGAATCCCTATGTGGAAGCAGGCCATTTGGCCTAATGAGTCCACACCGACCCTTTTGAGGAGCATCTCACCCAGACATGGGATACTACCGGCCATTTTGCATGGACAGTCCACCTAACCTGCATATCTTTGGACTGTGGGAGGATACCAGACCACCTAGAGGAACCCCATGCAGAGACGGGGCGAATATGCAAACTCCACAGACAGATGCCCAAGGGTGGAATTGAATCCTGGTGCTGTGAGGCAGGAGTGCTAACCACTGAGCCACCATGCTGTCATGCGACTATTGTTTAGTGCAACACTAAAGCACATACCAATTTGTCCTCAAACTGTGATCTTTATAATGCCCTAGTATGTCAGCCCACTGACATACACTATAGTTTGTTGTTTTAAGCCTTTTTATATCCTTTCCTCAATGTAAACCAAAAACGTCCTAAACTGCAGATGTAATCCAGCCTTTGGCTGAAAGAGGTAGTCACCTTCTCATCTGTTCCTTTTAAATCTCTCTGCTTGAAATTGCCTACATACTCCTCAGTTCTTCCATGGATTCACAGAGGACCTTGCTAAATGACCACTGAATTTACATCTTCAGTCTCTTTTGGCTTTGTCTTTTTTTTTAGGGGGAAGAAAAAGTAATACTTGTTGTTCAAGATGCAATATGCCAGTAAGTCAGTTAGGATTCTGATGCATTTTCATTATATTGAGGAGAGAGAACATGGGATTGTTCAGTTTACAATAGTGGATGTTGATGAAAGGAACAATATCTTTCATTGAAATCCAGAAGCCTTGAAAATGGGCAACAAATTAATTCCAAAAAAGACCAATATGTTGTCTGTTTCAAAGCTTTGGCTTTTTGGAATACTCCCAATTGTTAAATTGGGACTGCACCCATTCCTGGAGGTGAAACATAATGTCGTGGCTGATAATGTCGAGGGCTGTTTTTCTGCAGTTGCATCAGAAGCTTCAGAAGATGCATATGGCATGTTCATAGAAAATGGTCACAATGTAAACCGGCTGTAATAATATTGAAAATTGACTATGACATGACTGTATTCTGGCCAAAATTAACTTGCTGTCTGTTAGTTCAAAAACTTATCAATTCACTGGGTGACTTCAATGTTCTCACCAAATGAAATATGTAGTCCGTAGGTTTAAGTCTAAATGATGCATGTCAAATGCTTGAACAGCAATAATGTCTAATGAAACGAGAAAATGCTGGAACTGCCCACCAGGTCAGACAGCACCTGTGGAACGATGAAGAGAAATACTTCAATTCAAAGATCCTTCACCAGATTATCTTTGATCTCCGAGGGATGTTTTAAGGGGAAAAGAACTTGCCTGCCTTCTGAATGTTTCTGACCACTTTTATTGCTTCCACAACTGAAGTATTTCTCTCCATATACTTGAATACAAATCACGTAATTTGGTTTCAGTTGGCAAAAGAAAATTTATTTTCCACACTGGTCTATTTTTCACAAATAAATACTATCTGAATCGCTTAATCAGTCAGCATGCTGACTGTGTTTTTCAAAAACAGGTGTGCTCCTGATCACAAGGTTGACTGGTTTTGAGCCACTTGAATTTGCTGGAATTGTTTACTTCAAGTTAGCAACTCTAAATATCTTTGCTCTGCAACTGTGAAATAATTCATTATATTCACATCAATAGCTGAGAGATTGACAGTGGAACCTTTTCTCCTTAAGAACTCCGAGGACAGCTAACTCTGTTTAAATAATAACTCTTACACCATGCAAATGATAGTTCCTTATGTAGCCTCAGCTTGCAGAGATGCTGTGAAGAGCTTTGATATTTCTTGTTTTATGTATGTTTATTTTCATGTATATGTATGTCATCTTGTCACATTATGTATTTACAGAAGACAAATTTTGAAAATATTCCCTTTTTCTTCCCTCCCTAGAATCAGTTTATGGCTTTACAACAAAAGCATGAATTACGTATCACTGAATTGGAGTTACTGCTTCAGAGTTTGTCCAGCAGATCAGAGGTGTGGTAACATTGTGATTATGCATCTGCTAGCTTAATTTTTAATATAACTGACATCTGTAGAGTAGTGATTTGCCATTAGAAAGTCTCTAACAGATGGGGTTGGTACATAGGACTATTAAAATCTATGAAAGTGTGAAATTTGGCCTTTATTCCTGCGTTTGATGCGGCACAAAACAAAACCTGAATTCAGTGACTAGATAAATAGTAAATCTTGAGTTTTAAATATTACTAAACCGCTTGGATTCATTCTGGTGGTTCGTGATGTCAAAACCTCCTTGCTTAATGCTTTGCAGGCAGGGCTGCAACAGCATAATGGTGGTTTGATGCACTTTGGTTATAGAGCTGAAAATAAACAGTTATGTGAGTAAGTACCTATCTATTCGTTTGTTGTAGTCCACACAAGTTGATAGTTCCAAGCCACAGTTTGTAATGACTTGCTTTCTGTACAAAGGTGACAAAGACACAAGGTTTGACCATGAGTCTGTCTTGAGTAGCAAAGTAGTCAGCCCCAGTTCTCATTTATAATTAAAAAATCCTTTAGTAACCTAGTCATGGCTAGGTTAGGCTTGGCTTGGCAGTGATGTATTGATCAAATCATGAATAAATGCAGAATGTGTTGAGGTTCACTTACAAATGAGCACTTGAACAAAGCACAGTACCCATCAAAAGTCAACTGTGCAGAGGAAGGGTGGGGTCAAAATTTGTGTTCATTTATTGGGATTGATATTAGTTTAACCATGTGGTTAATCTGCAAGGTAATACCGTTTCTGTATCGAGTGATCTGTGGTCATTAGATGAATGAAATGAGTTTTAAGTTGAGAACTTAAATTAATGAATGAAATACTAACCACTGGCACCACGTCGCTGAGGATAGCAGACCATAAGTTTGCAATCCAGACGTGTTTTCTTCCTGATATGGGAAATCTCATAGATTGGATACCTTTTTATCTGTTTGATGGACTGCTGAGGTGTCAACAGAGGAGGCATGCTATCAAAGGGAATATTAGAGATTACTTGCGCATTGCTAGCTACACAGTGCCACTTTTCAGTCTGTCGTGGCTTATGACTTGTAACAAATCAGCCTCTTTACTTGTGCTGCACTGCTTGAGGAAGTTTCCCTTTCTGGCAAAGATTTGTTTATAGTGGTTTTCAAAAAACAAATTCATTGAGTTATTGAGAGCTACATGGATGTGTTAAATTGGTGGCTAGGGTTACTGAGGACTTAACTGACCTTGTGTTTAAATGCTCTACTAAAGTAAACTTGATTTTTGCCATTTGAACTGCAGCACGGGGTGTGTTCTGCATGCAGTTGAGAGAGAACGGTTGTGTGCAAGCATTGCTTTGAAAAAAAAAAGCGAATTGCGATGCTGGAAGTCAGAGACGAAAACAGAAATTGCTGGAAAATCACAGTTCTGAAGAAGGGTCACTGGACCCGAAACATTAATACTGCTCTTGCTTCACAATTGCCACCAGACCTGTTGAATCTTGCCAACCATTTGTTTTCGTTACATTACTTTTGAGTCCATTTAGTCTGAGCATCTTCATCCTGAGGACTGAGTTTGAGCAAAGGAAGAGAAACTGGAAACAACTGCTCCCACCTCAAATAATTACCAGAAATGATGTGCAGTGTTGTTCTGATTAGTTTTGTTAATGCTTATGGCGAAGCTTCAATGACCAAAGTCTAAAAGGCATGCCAAATAAGTGTGTATAGACAGATGTAAAAATTGTACATTGGATCAGTGCACAAGATTAAAGCAGATTTGAAATTATGGTGTTCGGTTACCAGTAACAGAGCCACAGAGGAAATTATACAGATAATTATATGCTGCAGTGTGATGCTTCAACTGTTTGAGCACAGAGGTACTTTAGCTTGTGCACACCTGTTTCTGTTCACATGCAATCTGAGCTGCAACTGTCAAATGAGTTCTTCTGCTTTGTGAATTTCATGAAATCAGCTAAAAGGGATTGTTCGGCACACAAGTAAGTATGCAGGTTTGAAATGTAACAGAGTTCTCTTGTTACCCGAATCACATGAGTGGCAAGTGTAGATATGTTGTATATCAGGCTTTGATTTTTTTTTTGCATTAATGATTGGAAATACATCTTACTCTTTAAAGACCAACAATTATTTTGCAGAAATAATCATAAATTGATTCACATAGGAAATAAGAACAGGAGTGGCCACTTTGCCCCTTCAGTTTGCTCTGTAATTCAATAATATAATTGCAAATCTGATCTTGACCTCAGTTTGTTCTTTGTTTCTGTAACCCATGAGCTCCTTATGTTTCAAAAACCTGCCTGTTCTGGCCTTGAATATATTCAGTGGCTCAGACTCTCTATCTCCATGGGATAGAGAATTCCAAAAATTCATAACCTTGGAAGAACTTGCTCATGTTCATCTTAAATAGATGGCCTCTTACTGTCAGACTATGCACCTTTAGTCTTTGATTTCCCTCGGTAGGAGGCAATGTTCTCTTCGTATCTAACCTTTCAAGCCCTCCTCAGAATCTAGTGTACTTCAATAAGATCATCTTTCTAAATTTCAATGACTAGGCGCCTGACCCATTCAGCCCTTCCTCAAGAAACCTGCTTCATTACAGGATTCAACTGAGTGAACGTCATCTAAACTGCTTTGTTGCAAATCTCCTTTTTAAAAGAGACTCAAATTATAAGCAGTATTTGGTTTGGTCTTAACAGTTGACCATGATGTGTATTCTTGGAAACCGTTACTGGTATAATGGTAATTTTTGAAAATTGTGTCTCAACTTTATAGCCCAAGCATGCTCTTCACTCTAAGAGTGTGTCTTGACTTAAAGGCCATTTACCCCAATAGCTTTGTATTACCTCCTAGCCCTAATGTAATTTTTAATTACCTATGTAGAAACGATGGCCCCTGAACTGAACCTGGAATTTGGAGCCAGAGGGCCATTGAAATAAAGTGCCTGCTTTGCTCATTGGCATGTTTGTTTAAAATTTGGCTACTCTAAAGGTTATCGTTTACTTTCTTTTTCTCCTGCCCTCATTTCCACAGTTCCCATTCCCCAACCAAGTTTCAGTAATTGCCCTGCAAAACTCTGTATTGCAGTGACTTGATTTTGATAATCTGCTGGCATCTTATGCACACTCTTAATTACTGGCTTCCCATGTTGGTAAAGCATTACCAAACAAAAGTTATTGTTATGCATGTTGGAAAGCTTATATGGCTTGCCATCTGCTATGATCGTGATTTTAAACAGCATGCATCAGATTTCACGGTGTAATTATTCAGGCTCGTGCAGCAGATTGTTATAAGATGCTGAAATGTAAGCATTCTTTCCTGTACATCATTGTCCTGAATAGTAGTTTCATGTGTCTTGTGAGCTGCAGCTAAAATTGGCAGCTGTGCTTCTGTAAATTGCCAGGTGGAGAATATAAGCTTGGCTAAATGTGATTGAAAAACTTATGCTGTGCAAGTGTTTGAAGAATTTGTGAAGCAAGTCATGATGGTACTTTTGTAGGTGAGGTAGGAGTTAGCATGCCAGTCCTGCCTTGAACAATAATGTGTTACTTGAAGTTTACAGGAAGTGACTTAAAAAAAAAAACCTGTAACAATGATAACCATTGTTGATTATGGTTTGAATGCATCATTATATGAAATGTAGCATAGGAAGAAGGCTGTACAGCTCTACCAAAGAGCCATGGCATTTGTCTCATAGCGCTGCAACTTAGCCGTTTCAAAAGGGAATTCAGCTTTTGAACTAATTTCAGGGATGGATTATTAATCACCGTAATTCACTTGTGTTTTAAAAATAACCCCTCCTCTCTCCCATGAGCTTAAATTTATCTTCTGATTCTGCTTCTCCCTGTGGAGTCAGAGGAAAATAGGGAGAAACTGTCACAATCATAATTTTCAATCCTCCTTAAATCCCCCTATAATCGCTGATTGAAACATGAATAAATTAAACTCTTCTGCATTCTTTATCTAACTGAAGTCCCTTGTGACTGTGATCTAGCCAATAAGTTTGCAACTTCCTCAATCCTAGTCTTTTGGAATATTATGTCCAAACTGTAACATGTAACAAATTTGTCTCTACTTGGAAGGTAAGTTGCATAATTTATGGTTATGACACCAAATGATCTGTTATGGATAATATTTATGACTGACACAAAAACTGCTTTCAATGTTTTTGTCTCCACTGCAGGAAGTTTACAAAGAGGTTGAAACTGCAAAGACGAACACTCTGAGGTATGATGCACTCATTTTTTGAGAAGTTCATTAATTTCTCATTGGATTCTACTTCAAGTTTTCTTTTACTTTCCCAAGCAATAAAAATGAAGAACAGTACCAGCACCTCATGACTGAACTCCAGAGACTGGATATGGAATTGTCCACAGTCAAATCAGAATTGTCAAGCATGCAGGAACTGAAGACATCTTGTGCAAAAATAGACGGGTTACAAGGAAGTGTAGGCATATTTTTTTTCTCATTGCGAAAATATTTTTCAATAATTTAATGTATGACACAGGCTGCTGTTCAAAATTGGTTAATTACATTGTTATGGTTACTGGTACAATCAAACCAGTAACATCTGCAAAGTGCATAAAAATTATTTCCTTTTCTGCTTTTCTAGGTTGACAATCGGGTCAGAGAATTGGTCAATTTGCTGATTTTTGGAACCAGACAAACTTCAAACGCGTCTTTCAAGGACTGGCTGTTCTCCCAGTTTGCCAGCCAAACTGAACTCCAGATCCTATTAAAAGATTTGGAAATGAAAATCCTGAAAAATCTCTCCCAACATTGGATTGAAACAAAAAAGCTGCCAGATGCACAAGTAGCTGCATGTGCAGTCACTAATGCTGGGTTAAGTGGCATTTCAGAGGAGGTGAGTTCAGTTGAAATTGTTACTCCAGTATGTCTTCCCTGCATGTTACTCTCCTTTGGTCTTTTCCCTTGACAAAAGAGCTTGTCCTGCTCTCAAATTGCCATTATCATGTCAAAGTTGAAGTAACATTGTCTTAGCATGACATTCCCATTATGTTTTTCCTCCACGCAGACCTCCAAGGTCTTTGTGCAGCAGCAACTTGTGGAACTGGAAGTCAATGCTGCAAATGGCATTGGCACACCAGTTGCCATGCACGGACCCTTGGACTGACTTAGGACATTCCTTAACATGGTGTTTGATCTGTGGGGATTGAGGTATTCTTATTCATCTCCCTGATCAATGCAACAGAACTGTCTCTGCAGAATCATGTTTTGGTCCAAGATCTGTTCGGTGACACCAACACACCATACACAATACTAAGATGAATGTTGAATACATCGGAATTTTGTGTTGCTTGTGTGTGTTACAACTCTGCTGAGCTATCATTTGTATTTTGTGCAGAAGAAAGTTCTTAAAGACGTGCTTGTGCTATAACAATTTGTTTAGAAATTTACATTCCTGTGGCTCGAATTGACATTCATGTGCATGTTCTTGTATGCTTAAAACGTTTTGACTGCTTCTGGAAATGTTTCCCTCCAGACTTTAACGATTACATGCTGGAGAGAGGAGATGCATTGGTGTCTCATTTGATTTTCTTTGACTCTATTAGTAGCCATTATTAATATGCCATAAGCAAGTATAGATTCAAAAGTTTATAAATTACTTTTTCAGCATTTATTTACTTTTGATTTCTTTGCCCTGGGGTTACTTGCTATGCAGCAAGTGCATATCATTGTGAACAACGCTTTGAAACTGTACAATGAAGATAAAACTGGAATGGTGGATTTTGCTTTGGAATCTGGAGGTGAGTAGCTGCAGCGTTACTCCAGGGAACATGGGGGAGGATAGAACATGAAAACGTACAAATTCATATGAACAAAGATGTATTTTAAAGCATTAGACACTGAGAAGAAGCAAGTGCGGGACCTGTGACAAGTCAGATAAGAAATGGTTTAGTCTGCAACTTTCTATTTTCTGTATCTAAAAGCTGGTGTGTGTTTGTTTTGAGTTTTTAAAATAAGTGGTGCTGTGTAAGTTTCTGCAGTGGAAATTTTTGATTTACATTGGAGAAAATGTCTATTGTTTCATCAACATTGTGTTGCTGAACATTTTAAGATTGGTTCTTTTTAAATGAAGCTTAATATCATCTGGCCACTATACTCTTATAATCCACCTTTGCAGGGTTGGTTGCTCAGGGATGTTGCTATTTATTTACTGTATTTGTGATATACCGCATAGGACTCTTTCTCAACCTCTCCCATCACCTGAGGTGTCATGACCGTCAGGTTATACGACTACCAGCTGTGTCTCTAATGAGAGGAGCAGCCCTATGGTCTGGTAGGACTATGGCAAGTTTACCTTTACCATCTGTAATAAACTTGTAATCTGCAGGCTTGGTCTTCAAGCATGTGAATTAGAAAGTCGCAAATCTAATATCCCCAACAATATGGTTTCTGGGAAATGCACCCAATTTCTGGGTGGCAAGTTATTTATGCCTTTCAATCACATGCAGTATATTTAAATAATAGTTCCCACAGTTTCATGAGATATCAAGGTAAAAAGTTGTTTGGAAATTTCAACCTCTAGCTTTTCAGGTCAGACAATGGAACTTAAGTTCAGTCCCAAATTAATGATGTGCCCTGGAATATTTCTGTATGGAAATCCATATAGTTCATATTTCTGGACTTGTACGCACTTGCAATGAATTGTTAATCCGATATATAAAGACTGAGTGGCAATCATGCCACTTACAAAACGTGCACAAAGAATAAATCATTTTCTAATGGAAAGGACTAACGATGCAAAGCATTTCATGATAGAATCTCATTCAATAAATGTTTGTCGGGATGTACAAGTTTTTAATTTGAAAATGAAGCCACTATATTGACACATTTGTGACCCAACTTCTTAAAAATTGCTTTGGCTGTGCTACGATTTAGAATTGGCTAAGACTTCAGTAGTTCTTTGTGTAAAGTAATTTAATCAGCAACTTTCTGTTGGGCCAAAAAATCAGATGAAATGGGTTATAGTGCAACAGGTTTATTTGAAAATACAAGCTTTTGGAGTTTTTCTCCTTGTAACAAGACTCCAAAAGCTTATGTTTTCAAATAAACTTGGACTGTAACAGGGTGTCGTGTGACTTTTGACCTTGTCCACCCCAATCCAATACTGGTACCTCCACATTCTGGAAAAGTGACATTTTGGCAAAAGAAATTAATGCATCATTTAGCCTTGACTTGGATTTCATTCAACTTGCACAACCATACAAACTTACTATGAAAACAAATGATTTGTCATCAGTTGTAACTTGATCATCCTAGTAATTTAACCTGTGCAGAGGAAGGGGCATGAGCATTTGGATGACTCCAGATTGCAAGTATAGGATTTCTTAATCTATTTTGGAGAAGTGTTGATCATAAGTAGTCACAGAGATAAGTTATGAATGTTACAGGAATTTCCTGTGGTGCTGTCGACCGTGTCTTACTACCACATGACACCTGTGCAGAGATGCCACTTTCCTAAGTGGTACATGCTGTTCTGTTTAAAATTTAGATGTTTTTGATTGGGACACCACATTAAAACAGGTTATGAAAGTGAGTTCAGCAAGAAATTGAAAGGAGTTGCGAATAAATTCAGCCCAGATATTTTCGAAAATTTTTCTTTCAGGTTTGTTTTAGAACATTAGGGGTATTAATGGGGAAGGGGATGATTTAGAATGGTTAAATCCTTAGAGGATTTGGGATTGGAAACAGTTTATGGCGTTGATATGCTTATTGTGGGATAGTTGAGTAGACCCAACACAAGCATTCTAGTTTAAAACAATAAGGAAGAGTTGTTTGAGAGAGTTGAGCTTGTGCACCAGATCAAAAGCTATAGTGTATAATATATAGTGAGGCTGTTGACGGGTAATGCACCTTCGTCTCTTTTTTGTATATTTTGTATGTTTTGTCTGAGCTAATCACATAGGTTAAGAGCAGATTGTACAGTGGTTATGGTTCACTTACTGGGGTAGAAATTCACCTCAATAAGCATATTTATTAAAATGTTCCAGTTGGATGGCTGCCAAGTTGTCTGTAATCTGGCCATGTAATATAAATATATGTCCAAGGTGAACCTGCACACTGCAGGTTAGCAAGATATTTGACACTTTTGTTTTAATCTATCATGCAACATTTTTATATATTATGCCTGTCCATAAATGAAATGTAGATTTCAGTTACCTGATCTTTGTCATAAAAGTGAAGTTTAACGGTGAACTGCCCAGGGAGATGTCAGTGCATTAGTGATGTCACTGCACTAATGCCCTGGGAACATGAGTTCAGATGTCATCATGGCAGCTAGTGGTATTTAAAGTTAATTAATAAAATCTGGAATTGAAAGTTGGATTCCAATGGTGACTATGAAACAAATCATCAATTATCACCCTCTGGTTCATTGAGTTTTAGGGAAGGAAATTTGTCATCTATACCTGCTCTGGCCTCCATGTGTTTTCAGATTCAAAGCAACATGGTTGCCTCTAAAATACCTTTTTGAGGTGGCCTAGCAAGCTGCTGAGTTCAAGGGCTGGGCAAGAAGTACCAGCCCTACCAGTGATCCTTTCATCCCATAAAAGAATAAATGAGTTACCAGACAAATTGCTAGAATGGACACAAATGGCAGATGTTGTGTTTAATGTGGAGACGTGTAAAGTGAATCATTTTGGTAGGAAGAACATAGATAAACAGTATGAAATAGTGTACAATTGTGAAGGAACTGCAGGTGTACAGGATCTGGAGTGTATCAGTGTGCAAGTCATTGAAGGTGTCAGGGCAGTTTGAGTGTGCAGATAATAAAGCATGCAAGAACATGATTAATTGGTGTGTAGTATACAAGAGCCAAGAGGTTATGTTGGATTTGTATAAGCCTCAACTGGAGTATTTTATTTGGTTTTGGGTGGCACTTTGGGAAACATTTTGAAGGCATTGGAGTGAGTGCAGGTAAGATTCATGATTGGCTCCATGGATGAGGAATGTCAGTTGTGAAAATAAATTGGAGTATTGGGAGAAGAGAAGACAAGCAATTTGATAGAGGGATTAAAGATCTTGATGGGACTGATAAGAGTAGATCAGATGTAACTGTTCCCACTCCTTTAAAAAAAATAATTGCAAATGTAAAGGCATAGATTTAAAGCAATGTGAGGAAAATCTTCTTGCAGCAAGTTCTGGAATTTGCTGCTAGAAATTGTGGGTGAGGCAAGTTTCACTTGCATTCAAAAGGGAATTACTGTTACCTGAATGTGAACAAATATACAGGATTATGGGGAGAAGGCAGGGAAATGGTGCTAATTGCCCATTAGGCAAACTGGTGCTGAAACACTGGCTGCCTCCTGCAGTATTATTGTTCTGTGATTGATCTTCAGCTGCAAAATGCATGTGTTCTGCTCTGCTCTCCCCAGGCATATTCCTTGATGTTCTCAACATCCATTGTCCTGTTTCACTTTGATAATGTTGCCCGTCTCCACTCCAAACTTTTCCACTTGTTGCTTAAAGGCTCGTTATTGTCTCCTCCAGGCTCATTCGTTCGCCAAAGTCTCCCCTCCTTTACCAACAGTAAGCTCGGCTTGTCTGAAACTCAGCTCCACGAGACTGATTCTAGGTTTATAGGCTATTTTCAATTAGTGTTGGCAGATTGGGTGTGATGCCCCAGCACATGGATATCTCAGTTATCCTAATTGAGATCTTTGGTGTTCTTTGGCAAACAGTAGTCAGAATGGGTTAGAACTTCCTAAAAATTGCTTGTACTGTTGGGTTCTCTACTGAGTACTGCATCTGCCTTCTCTTTGCAGGTGGTAGCATCTTGAGCACTCGTTGTTCTGAAACCTATGAAACTGCAACAGCTGTGATGAGTCTCTTTGGAATTCCACTTTGGTATTTCTCGCAATCTCCTAGAGTGGTAATTCAGGTTGGTAGACCATATTGAGGTGAATTGTGTTGGTGACCTTTCATGGGAAGCTATATAAACAGGTAGGGTTAGAAGGGAGTTGTGATAGGTAGTGCATTAATGGGGAAGAAATTTGTGTAAATGTAAACACTTTCCACTGTGGCTAAACGCCCTGTTTGTGTTGTAAACTCATCAACACGTGCAAATGAAGCTGTTATGCTTAAATTAAAAATGGAAAGAACTGCGGTTGCTGTAAATCGGGAACAAAAACAAAATTCTGAGGAAGGGTCACTGGACCCGAAACGTTAACTCTTTTTTCCTTCACGGATGCTGCCAGACCTGCTGAGCTTTTCCAGGAACTTTGTTTTTGTTGTGCTTAAATTGTTTGCCTTCTCATAAAATCCTTTTCATAGCGGTTTTGAAAGAATGAAAATCATCCTTTTTGGAGTTCTGATTCTGTGCCATGTTCATCTTGCATATGATTATTTTCAAGGAGTGTAATTTCTCAGGATGCCTTTCAAAATACACAAAAATGGAGTATCTGTAATTAAAACAAAACCATTCCAGCTCTTAATTTCCAATGCCTGTTTGTATTGGATCGAGTAGAACCATAAGTCCTTAAAAAGGATAACTTGAACTGTAATTAAAAAATTATCACATCACCGTAGGAATAAACTTTCTGCTCTGAAGGAATCTGTCTTTTAAAAAGAAACTTGGAACACATGCTTAAAATATCCATTTGAACCTCTTTTCTAATTTGGTCAAAATTTAATTCCTGTTTTGTTTGTTTTGAGGCTTGTATCCAATTCAGGAGCATTTACTCCCAAATTAGTTGTATTAGATGCATATCAATGCATTTGTATACTCTACTCTCTAAAAGTTTTTGTTTGAAGCCCCATCATTGTTTGGCAATTGAAAAGATGGCTTTGTTTTTGTTGATTTTTCTGATGGAAGGTCCCTGATGTCCGTGATAGGAAGCAAATTTACTGATTGGACCAGCAGCATTGGAACTAAGCTCAATCTACAATTTCAACGTGTTGAAAATAGGTGTTCTTTCTGGGGTTTATTGCATGCCATTTATAGTATTACATTGAACCTCTACCCAAAAGTGGGTATTGCCCAGCTGATTCATGCCAGTATCTGTACTCCATATGAAGCTCCTCCCACCAGTCTTCATCTAGAGACAAGACTCGAATATCCATTCTCAAAAGTCTGCTTGAAATTTTGACTGAATCACGGAGCAGGAGTAGGTCATATGGCACCTTCAACCTCTGTTCGATGTGATCTTTGGCTTTGACTTAACTTTCTTACCACATCCCCTGTCTTGAGAACCAAAAAATCTCAGTTAATTAATGGATTCAGCATTGAGCATTCACAGCATCTGAGGGTAGTGAATTCCAAAGATTCACACTGTTCGCTCTGATGCGATTCTTCCTTTGTCCTAAATGATTGGTATCTTAGCCTGAGCTTGCCCCTATGTTCTGGATTTCACATCCAGGAGAAATAATCTTCAGTATCTACTCTGTAAAGCGCTTCAAAATCTTGTGTGTTTCAGAGGTCACCTCTCATTCTTTCTCAGCCTATTGTCATAGAACAGTTCTTTTGTGGAAGGAATTGTAGATGTAGCAAATATACACACCATAGAATCATGGCTTTCTTTTATGGTAGGTACTTCACTAGTCTGATGTTTTGTTGATTACTTTTTTCTTTTACACAGAATCTGTCATTTTACTAATATTACTAGTATTGTTGTCCCCTATTAACATTCATCGCTAAAACACCTGCTGGCTCTGTACAAAATCTGTGCACTTCCCCCTGATGGCAGAACCTGTTCTTTTTTTCTGTATATTTGGTTTTATTTTCTTCACAGCCTGAGGTTTAAGCAATTTCTTTCTACATGCAATCCTGCTCAATGGGAAAACTGGGTCCTTCGAAAAAAAGATGTTTTGGAAAATTTTAACACCTACATCGTTAAAAGAACACAGCTGAATAATAACCCAGTGTGTGTGCATGAGCACAGTGATTCAGGTTGATCTGCTCAATTGGCTGGATTGGCTGGCTCTAGATGTAGAGTGCCAATCGTGCATGAAGGTCCTGCCTTCTAAACTTATCCCTCACCTGAGGTGTGATGACCCTCCAGTTAAACTCACCACCAGTTTCTCTCTATTAAGAGAGCAACCCTGTGGTCCTGTGAGGCTATGGTTACATTCCTTTTATTATACTACAATCAAGGAACTAATGAGCATGTGTGCTGGATCACCCCCCTCTAGCTCTCCTATTTTAAACTAATGCCTTTTGATTTTGTTTAGATGAGAATAAAAAAATTAAAGGTGTGTGCAACTTGCTCTGTCTCATGCATGCTCAGGTGGTAACATTCCCTCCTGAGTCTCTCAGTTCTGGGTTCAAGTACAAAAATCAAGGCTGACACTTCAGTACAATGCTGAGAGAGGGCAGTACTGTCTCTCATACGACATATTAGACCAAGGCCCATCAGCCTGCTCCTGTGGCAAGATTTTGAAGAACAGTTAACCCTCGTGTCCTGGCCAATTTTTAATCCCTCGATCAGGATCAGCAAAAACATTTGCCTGGTCATTATCATCACATTACTATCTGCAGGAGTTCTCAATGTGAAACTGGCTGCTGCATTTCCTACATAGCACCAGTGACTACATTTCAAAATTTTTTTGTATTGCATAATAATTCTTGTTTCTAGACCATATGACATCTGGTGGTTGTGACAAACATAACATAAATGTAATTTTTTGTTTCAACTCTCAGTTCGAGTCTGCTTAAGTTGGAGAAAAAAATCTGGAATTAAGAGTCTGTGACCACGAATCCATTGTCGAGTGTTGGGAAAAACCCATCTGGTTCACTCGTGTCCTTTAGGGAAGGAACTGCCATCCTTATCTGGTCTGACCTACGTGTGACTCCAGACTCTCAACAATGTAGTTGACTCTTAATTGCCCTCTAGGCAATGAGGGATGGTCATTAAATGCTGCCTAGCCAGCAACACCCTCATTCCATGAATGAATTTTTTTAAAAAAATTCACCTTTCCATGTATCTTAGCCATAGTAAGAAAATTGCAGCAGGGCAACCCCATGTGGTGTTTTCACCTCAGTATTTCTCTAGCCATCAAGGTGTACTCAGTGTATTCAACTGTATCAATAACCAATTAATGCTTTGTTATTAGTGTGGCAAAGATTTCAGGCCTCACTCCTTGCGAAAAATAATACCTGCAATTCCTATGTTTCTTCCCCCCACCGTGCAACTCAATATGGCAATTCAGTTTTTTAATGTACTTTTTGCTCAGGACAATATCTGAAACTCTGTGGCCATGTTCCCAATTTTCTTTTGAGTGTGGGTATGTGAGTGACAATTAGACTGTGCGCTGTGATTCATATCTTTTTCAAATGTGTGGCTAGTCTCCGTGTTAGATGTTAAGTCTGAACATTGTTGTGACTTCTTTCCTGTTTGGTGCTCTGGAATGGCTGGCTTGAGTAGGCATTTTGTGAAGTGATCTGCTGGTGACTCTTAAATTTTTCCCTTTCTTCCTGTCCCAGTTTTCTTCCCACTTACCTTTCTTCCGTAGAGGCTCCAACTTGGAGAAATTCCACCAATGGAAACCATGTTCTGCTTGAGTGGCCATTCACTTTTGAATCTAGACAGGGTCCAGACCTGAAACATCAGCTTTCCTGCTCCTCTGATGCTGCTTGGCCTGCTGTGTTCATCCAGCTCTACACCTTGTTATATCGGAGACTATCAATGTCCTATTTGTATAGTGATTGTAGTCTAGTCCAGCTCAGAACTATCCTGGCCAAAGATGATAACACTTTCCAGCTGGGGTAATTGCATAGCAATTGGGAGTGGAATTCTTGGCCAGAGCTATCATCACCTGGGCAATGAGCCCAGTTGTACTGACTCCACTGCTGTCCCAGCTGAGATCGTCTGACTTGATATAGACCAGGAAAGTCACACCTCTGTGTCTCATCCCACCCATGATGGTTTACCTCCTGAGCAATCTGAAGAACAGCAGTCTCCATTCACAAATGCTGCAGGAGTGCAGTCTTCATGATGTTGCAGAAGGGGGAATGTTAACCAGTATTCCTAGACTATGTTTTTGTATAACAAGATTCTTCAACTGACCATTCCCAAACAAAACTGAGTCATGAGTTACTGAAGCACTCCATTTTATGTCTGGTATCTCCCTCAGTTCAGATTACGACTAGTTAAAATATTCTGATATAAAAGCAAGTCAAACGTCTGTGCAACAATTGTGTATCAGTATGACATTTGTTTGACTTGCTGAGATTTTTGCGCGAGTAAAGGGAAAAAGCAGGGGGCTGGCACGGAGTTATTCCTCCAGGGAACATTGCACGCATGATGGATTGAATGATCACTTACTATGCTATAACTATTCTAAGATTCCATGAGGTGAAGTGATGGGACACAGAGGTTAGCATGTCAAAACTTTGGATCTGAAAGTGGAAAATTAAGAAATTCTTAACCTAAAAGTTGCCCTAGTTTAAGGAGGATGCAGAGATGTTTTTGTAATGTTTCTGTAATGTTTCTCATTCCTGTTCTCTTACAGCCAGATGTTTACCCTGGAAACTGCTGGGCATTCAAAGGATCCCAGGGATATCTGGTTATTCGCCTTTCTGTGGAGATTTATCCTTCAGCTTTCACCTTGGAGCATGTACCAAAGTCTCTCTCTCCAGCAGGCAATATTAGCAGTGCTCCAAAGGACTTCAGTGTTTACGTAAGTGTAAGCAGCAGACTGTTAAAGAATCACGGGATGAACAGTGATGCTCAGCTGAAGTAGTCTGACCTCATATGCCGCGTCCATTAATAAAATTTGAGCAAGCGTTAGGTTTACAATTGGAGAGGTATGCAAGTCTTTTGGAGCTGTGTATGTACCTACTGTTAGGGTGTTGTGGCTTTTGAGCTGACTGCTTAAACACCACTGAAAAACAATGCCTTTGTAGAAAAAGAAAACATAGTACTGTGGATGTTGGTACTCTGAAATAAATACATCGTGTTGGAAATACTCATTTGACAGTATTTGTGGAAATGGAAACTAACTGAAGTTAGCTCTACACAAACGTTCTCTGCATTTATAAAACCTTTTTAAGAAAAAAAAATCACTTATTATTTACTTAATTCTGAAGAGACTTCTTGTTATCTTTGCTGAGTAACAGTGACCTGTTTTGTGTGTTCCTTCCAGGGTCTTGATGATGAGTACCAAGAAGAAGGTGCAAATTTTGGCACATACACATACAACCAAGATGGAGAAGCGATACAGACTTTCCTTGTCAGGGTAACTTAGTTTCAAATTTATACTTGCTAATTTAGTTATTTTAAATTTCACTTTCAGGATATATTTCAGATTTTTGTAATGTAGTTTTGCTGTTGTATTTCATATTCAATTTATGGTTTATTCCAGTTTTTGTCTGAAAACTGCAGCAGGTATATACAGGTTGTTTGGAACCTTTTTTATCCCACCCCATTGATAATTGAGTTAGAAAATATTGTTAGACCAAGTCATAAAATGAAATCACAGTTACTTGCAAAATTGAGGTAAATGAACTTAGTGTTGTTAATTCTTCAGCTCATTCTGGGTCTAAGCTCTTGCAGTTTCTTCCACTAAAATCCTCCTTTTGGTCACCTGTCCTGCTGCCTCACGTAGTCAAAGACAAATTTTTCTGCATCTGTGAAATAGCCTGGAATGTTTTATATCATTTCAAGGCTCTGTATAAATTAAAGTTAATTCATGAGTAAAACAATTCAAGGTAATTCTATAAGATAATCAGACTTTTGAGTATGTAATTTTTCCTCTCTTGTGTTTGTGCTCTACCCTTCCCTATTCAAACTTTAGAATGAAAGCTTGAAAAGCTACCAAATAGTTGAACTCCGGATATTCTCCAACTGGGGTCACCCAGAGTACACTTGTCTCTACCGGTTCAGAGTGCACGGCAACCCTAGAAAACAATGAATCATGGACTGTACTAATATTGTAAAAATTGTAAATACTGGAAGAACTGGGAATAATTCTGGACACTGGAATTTGTTCTTAGATTGTGGCATGAATAACGTACTGCTGAATTGCCTACTATCAGATGCTTTAAGAACACTGCCTACTGATTGGTTAATGGCTTTCTCATGGTTTTTAGAGAACCTTTTGTCTTGTTTTTATTTTGGTAAATGTCTGGTGTTTGTTTTGCACAACAAGAATACTGACTGCCTTTCCACTTGGAAAAAATGGAAAGAAATTGATGTACAGACTATTTTATTGGATATTGGATAATGTTTATTTGTATATTGCACAACAGTCCTCATATTGTAAAGAGAATACTTCAAAATATAAGCTTATATTAACCGATATAATCCATATATTTAAATATTGACATTAAACCTGTGGCCTGTGTAGAAAGAATACGAATATGAAATGCACTCATATTTCAAACTATGATATAAAACAAAACAAGGCATATTTCCTCCTGTAAAGCAAAATTAGGGATTTTGGGGAAGGGACTTTGTGAATAACTATTTATTTTTCAAGAGTAACATAGGACTTTGTGCAATGTATTTTTGTAAATTTTTCACGCTGTCTTGAAGTGTTTTTATTTCCTTGGATGTTACAGAATTGGACAAAGCTATTCAGATGTTTAAATAAAGAATTTAATTTTTTTGAGGCTGGATGTATTTGAAACATAATAAAGGGTAAACTTTCTTTTGTGTAACATTTGTATTTGAATACAAGTTTTCAATATTAAGAGCATCTTAAACTCATCATAAATTGGGATCTAGTTTTGGGTTAAACCAATCAGTAAAAAGCATGTGTTATGATCTGAAATGCACTGCTTAAAACGTTATTGGAAGCAGATTTAATAACTTGTGAAAGGAGACAACTTGTCGGGCTCCAAGGAAAGAGCAGAATTGAGGAACTATTTAGATAGCTCTTTTTAGTGGAGGCATAGGCACCATGGACTGAATAATGACTCCCTGTTCTGTATCAATCTCCAGTTGCTATGTTAGCTTCTGACTTGTCATCCACGAGGTTTAAAATTCAGAACACAAATTCACTTTTTTTGCTATCTATTGGAGTTGGCATTCCCTTCAATAAAACTTGATGGGATTCATGTGCAATCAGGCAGAATAAAGTAATGGTCTAAGGTCATGTAGCACAAATGGGAATGGACACAAAAAAATAAGCTAGAGTTCATTGGGAAATAATTCCTAGCTCATCTTAAGTGGGAGGTATGGTTTTCATATCTTGGGATGCTGTGCTTCAAAGCTCTGTACTTGTGGATGATAACCAAAGTATCTATCTGTTGTCTGTCGCAACTGGTAAGATAGCCACTGCTTAATGCACACTGAAAACTGACATTTCAGCATGGGTAACAGCGGTAGTGACACTACAGTCAAAATCTTACAGTTGTAAAAGCTGTAACAACATACCAGCCATATTTTTGAGAATTAATAACCACCTCACAAAGCACTATTCAATTCCAGTGTAATGCCACGGGTACTGGCAGTCACCACCTGTCCCATCCAAGTGGCTGCTCCTTATGTGGAGAGGCTAGAGAAACTGGAATTGTTGTCCTTCATAGAGAAATTGAGGGGAGATTTATTTGATGTTTAAAATTGAGGGGTTTTCACAAGCGAATAAGAAACTGTTTTTCTACCAGAACAGTAAGTGACCAGAGGTCATAGATCAAAGATTGGTGAAAACGTTGAGATGAGAATTTTTTTAATTCAGCAGTTTGATCTGAAAGAAAGGGCATGAATTTATCTAATATGAAAGCATGTTGCAAGTGGATTTGTTAATATTCAAGGAAGTTGGGACTAATTGGCAAGCTGTTTGAAGATAAGGCATGCTGAGGGTAAATTGCCTCCAATGCTGTAAAATCTTGCATAAATGGGAAGAAGGACAAGTACTGCAGCAGAAATGGGACAGGCTTTGACATTTAGAACCACTTGCACAGTTTAGGATACAATTTTGTAGCACTTTTTTCACTTACAACAGGTCATGCATTTAATCTCAATCATCAAGGGAACTCAGTTTTACTCATGGGTTTAAACTTGGGTCCAATATTAAAACCAGCTGGATGGGCAAACGGCTATATTGGCATTTGTACCTTCCGATGTTCCTGAAACATAACTTATGAAATTTAATTTTCATAGCAACTCCTGTAAAGAAATTGATTCATTAAAATGCACATATCTCCAATTATGACGGACTTCATTCGGACCTGATTAAAGGATTCAGATGAAAGTTTTGACTGTAATTGTGCATTGTGTACTGTTTAAATGTTAACGTTAAGAACTTTGTCCATTTTATTGCAAGGCTGTTGTAGATACTTGAATGTTGGGATATATTAATTTCAGCAAACATGATCTCTTGCATAAGATTTGTTCAAGAATATGCATAGTGCTAAATATGCTATCATTACTAATAAACATTCTGGCTGGTCAGATACATTCAAAAGCCATTTGATGAAAAGACTGGCAAAATTTGAGGTTTCAAGGTCAAATGACTGGAATGCTAATTCATGCCGCACAAGCAGAGTGGTGAAACGAACTAGGCACTTTTTTTCCTGGGCTTTTGCTGACTCTTGAGATGTAATGGTGAAGAGTTGGTGCTCCTATGTGAGATGAAATGAATTTGCTAACCTGACAAACCTTTTGTTTTGTAATAGGTGCAACAGGGTTGTAAGATCTTCATGGAAGGGAAAATCAATACACACATCCCGATTGTTGCTGCAAGTGAGAGACAAAACATTTGTGGATTCCCTATTTTGGAGTGCACTATGTTCCTTTTGTTTCTATCTTGGGGATATGCCCCACAAAATAGCAAATCTTTGCTTGTTTAGATATCTCCAAGCTTCTGGTCAGAACAGTTTTTATTGAGCTTTCGGAGAGCTATGTGTTGATGAGCAGATGATTCTTCAATTTCAAATTTTGTTAGTGCAGCTGAGGTCAGTTGTCAGTGCAGTTGGTGAAAGTTGACAAGAGTCCAAGTAATTCAGGAGCTTTTTGGATGACCAGGATAATGTGCCTTAAAAGCAGTGCAATGAATATGTCCAGTTGATGAACCTTAAAAACAATCTTCGTAGAACTGGCTGTTGTGATCTTGAGTTCCTTTTTGTAATGGTTATTGTTTGTCAAAGCCAACCTGGATTGTAATCTGTACTAACAAGGTGTAGAGCTGGATGAACACAGCAGGCCAAGCAGCATCAGAGGAGCAGGAAAGCTGACGTTTTGGGTCTGGACCCTTCTTCAGAAAGCTCCTCTGCTGCTTGGCCTGCTGTGTTCATCCAGCTCTGCACCTTGTTATCTCAGATTCTCCAGCATCGGCAGTTCCCACTATCTCTTGTAATCTGTACTGCCATCTATTGGAGTGGGAGCATATCTCCCTTAGTGATGAGCTTTGACTGTAAGTTCCAGCTTGCACCATTAGAACCCCTGCAGGACATGAAGAATCGCAGAAAAATAGCTTCTGTTGGTGGGATAACCTTTGGTCAAGCTAAGTGGCAGCGCATTATGTTGAAATGTAACCATCAAACTGCAAAATCAATCGTAAAGGCTACAATCTACATTTTTGCATCACAAGTTATGTTTCTGTTATGTGAAGTTTTATATTTTTAATTTTTAAAAGAAAATAGAGTAGCTTTGACAAGAACTATCCTTATTTTTCCAATCACTAGTCATTCTCTGAAGGGTTCTCTGATCAGTCGTTCTGTTATGACTGCATTTAGGATATTTTTAGAACCTGGTTTAGTTCAGTCCAACAGCCCTAGCCAGCTAGTTTTTAGGCATTTCAGTTTTACACTAATTTAAAAAATTGATTTTTGTTTAACTCAGTTTAGAGTTGTAAGAATGTAGCTTGATGTCTGTGGTCATCAACAAAACAATGGCACTTTGCACACTGACAATGAAATCAGCATCCCAGGTTTGGCAATCTCTGGCAGTAATCTGGTCTTTATCACTGAATGGTAACATGACAGCAGTCTTAACTGGGGGATTCCCAGTAAGCAGTTGCATTGATCTTTTCAGTGTACTGGGGGTTTCTCTTGCAGATTAACAAGAAACAAAAAATAAAATGATTTTTACAGAATTTATTTTAAAAGTACTTGCGTAAGACTTAAGGTAGAATATAAAAGATTCTGATTGATCTTTTTCTCCTGAAATGAATTTACATTGAAATATAACAGTACTTCACAATCTCTTCTCATGTCTAGTTTTGTTCATCAAACTTTAATTGTTGTTTAAAACTCATTTGTGTCTGGTTGAATCTTGATCATGGAAGGGATATGACCCAGTCTTTCACTTTTTAGAATCTAACTTGCATTTGTGGTGATTTTTTTTTTAAAGTTTGGTCATGAGATGTGGGCATTGCTGGCTGGCCAGCTTTTATTGACCATTTTTAGTCTCCTTGGAGAGAACCTGTAGGTCTATCTGCTGCCCTTGACCTTCTAGAAAAAAGCAGTCATGGATTTGAAAGGTGTTTTTGAAGGTTCTTGGGTGAATTTCTGCACTACAGCTTGTAGATGGTATACATTACTGATATTGAGGGTCAGTGATGAAGGGACTGGATGCTTGTGGGTATGGTGCCAATCAAGCAAGCTTCTTAGCCTTGAATAGTGTCATGTACCTTCATTGTTGTTGTAGCTGCAATCATCCAGGCAAGTAAAGAGCATTCCAGCAAACTCCTTATTTGTGCCTTGTGGATGGATGGGCTTTGGGGAGTCAGGTGATGGACTACTCATTGTAGAATTCCTAGCCTCTGTCCTGCTTTCATTGCCACAATATTTATGATTTTCCAGTTCAGTTTCTGATCACCAAGGATGTTGATCATGGGAGATTTAGTGATCATAACATGATTGAATGTCAAAGGATGATGGTTAGATTCTCTCTTTTTGGAGATGATCATTGCCTGTCGTTCATATGGTGCAAAATTTTTGTCGCACTCTCGCCTGGATATTATCCAGATCTTGTTGCATTTGGACATGGAATGTTTCAGTATTTTGAGTCACAAATGGTGCTGAATAATGTGCAATTGTTGGTGAATGTCCCCATATCTGAACTTAGAGGGTATGTCAATGATGAAGCAGCTGAAGATCATCGGGTCCAGGGCACTATCTTGAGGCACTCTGGCCTCTTACATGCAGTGGTGATGCTCCTACCTCTGAGCCAGAGGCCCAGGTTCAAGTCCCATATGCTCCAGAGGTGTGTAATAACATCTCTAATCAGATTGATCAGAAAATATCTATCCTAAGGAGCTTGCAGGGATGTCCTCCAGTTGAGATAACTGCCCTCAAACCATCCTGTTGACAGGATTTCTTCTTTCTTTTGGAGAGTCTTCATTTCTTCAATCATTACATGTAACTTTCTGCTGTATATGGAGAAAGTTGATGATTTTCTCCACCAATTATTTATTACAACACAACTTCCTTTGTACTTGCAAGTAAAATTATGTATGAAATTAATTGGCGATTATTCCAGTACTTCAAGTCTGATTTCCTTTATCTTCAAACAATCTTCCCCCAGCCATGTGTATGTAGACTCATGCTTGATGTAACATTCCACATATTCATAGCATAAATTGTCCTCCACCTAAGCATACAGATTTTGGATTAAATGTTCACTTTGGGTCACCACTCCTCAAGTGAGCCTTCCCTCTGATTGTTAGACTGTATAGGTTCAACTGCAATGCAGATTTGGCACCTATCTCATCTGCCTAACCACCTCCAGCACGGACCTCAGTGAGTGGGTGCCTATACTCGTAGGGTCATTGATTGTGGCATGCAATCTCTGTATTTCTGATTCTAAAATCTCTTGACCTGCAATGTGGTTGGCTTGTGTCAAAGACAATTCTACCTTTTTTAAGACTTTAGATGTAATTGTCTGATTGGTGCAGAATTCCTAGCCCCTCTACATTATTAACCTCACTTGGTTCTAAAGGCATTGATCCTTAAAAGAATGGAGACCTTCCTAGACTAGTGTTTTTAATGTGCTGAGAAAGCAGCAGGTTCTTTATAAGCAAGTCTAAAAGAGCAAGATATTAGAGGCTACTACTCAGCTGTTAGAGCATTGTAGTCATTAATTGGAATCAGTGTTTTCAGTAATATTGGAGTAGTCCATATTATGCTTCAAGAATTCATTGTCTGCCAAAGTCAGTATTATTTGCCTTGGAAGCAACAATACTCAAGAAGCTTGACACTGTCTGTGACACAGGCAACTGGGGATGGGTAAAAAATGCTAGCCAGCGATGCCCATATTCCACAAACGAAATAAATAAAAAAGAAGCAAATGAGTGGCTCATATTCCATTACTATGGAAACATTAGAAGATAGGAGGTAGAGGCCATTCACCCCTTTATGCCTACTCCCCCAGCTGATCATTGAATTCAATAGCCTAATCCTGCTTTCTTCCCATAATCTTCAATCCCATTCACTCCAAGTGCTATATCTAGTCATCTTTTTGAATACATTTGCTGTTTGGGTATCAACTACTTCCTGTGCATGAAGAAATGTCTCCCCATCTGTGTCCTAAATCCTTTACTCTAAATCCTCATACTGTGAGACCTGGTTCTGGACACCCACCATCAGGAACATCCTCCCTTCATCTACCCTATGAAATTCCCCCTCGTTTGTCTGAACTCCAGCAAAAACAATCCCAATCTTGCCAATCTCTCCTCGTACTGAAGACTTGGAGCCAAAAAAAAAACCTAGCTTTTCATTTTATTTCTATTTTAGTATTGGGAACATCAGTAAAATGAAACCAGATCTTTTAAACTTTAAGAGCCTGCTAATATCTTGCCTCCTCCACTGATGTTACTGTTCACTTCTCAAAAAAATTTGATAGAAATATTATTAGGATAGGTGAAAAGAAAATGGTGTTTTGTGGTTGTAATCCAACTTATTCCTCATTGCCAAGATCTTTGAGTAACAATTTTTCTTGCGGTCCCCAGATAAGGCTTTGTCCTCAGTTTTATCAAATGGTATCGTATGTAGAATCTCTTCTGCTGGCAGTGGGAAAAACCTGAGCAGTAGGACAAAAAAAAAGTTATTGAGGGCCTTAAAAGCGTGCCTTTCTAAAGATCCGATCGAGCTTAACTCCCTAGTGTTAAGAACACCAGGTATCTCTATTAGAGAAGGAAGAGATCCGGGTTCCAGTGTATTTGGGATTCATACACCCCTGCTTCTATCTTGCTCCGCTGGCTGGAACAACATTAACAGTCCCCCAGGCATCTTCAAGAAGGCAGCACATCGTGGAGCTGGAGGAACACAGGAGGTCAGGCACCATCAGAGGAGCAGGAAAGCCGACAGGACCGGAGGGTCCCGACCCCAAACGTCGACTCTGATGCTGCCTGGCCTGCTGTGTTCCTCCAGCTCCACACTCTTATCTCTGACTCCAGCATCTGCAGCTCTTGCTATGTCCAACTTACACAAGGCAGCTTGTCGACACTAGGCAAGCATTCCCTCAGTGAGCCTGTAAGACTCTCCTTGAAAGGCGGCCAAGAGGGGGATCGATTCCCGGCCGGAGTCTGAAAGATTAGTTTTGTTCTCGGGTGGCATAGGGGGTGAGATGCACGAATGTGGAGTTGAGGGTCAGATATAATCTTAGTGAAGAGCTCCGGCTGGTGGAGGCCTCACGTCATCACCCCCGATTAGGAGTTTCCCCTAATTCTAGAAGTGTCAGACTTCCAGCGGCTGCAGCACCTCCTCTTCCACGCCGGCCTCCGCTGTGATTTTGAAGATGACTGGACCCCGCGTTCTTTGAGCGGCGAAGGACGCCGTAGCCATGACGTCGGCGCGCCGCGCATAAGCGGCTCGCCCTTTGACCTTTGGCTGCGGGTAGCAATGGCGGACGGCGAGGTGCCCAAGTGCTGCAGGAACCGGGGCGGAGTCCAGCGGGTCGAGAGCAAGCTCCGGGCGAGCGTCGAGAAGGGCGATTACTATGAGGCGCACCAAATGTACCGGACGCTCTTCTTCCGGTGAGTTTGTCGGTGTGGAGAGAGGGAGGAACATGGCCATGTTTGGGAGAGAGAGACGGTGTACGCGGCTCCGCGGGGCGAATCCTCCGTTCTCTTCCTCATGCCCGATCCCTCTCCTCGAGCATCGGCACCTTCCAGATCCTTCTTTCTCCGGGAGCCCCACTCAACCTAACCTGCTGGCGAAGGCTGCGGATCCGCCTGTGCCCCGGTCGATTGGTCGCTGATGTCGACCAGCTATTGTGACGCGAGCCGCGTGATTGGTTAGCTGCCCTATCAATCAAGAGATTGACAGCATTCTGAATTGACGCGGGGGCGTTGGTGGGAGGCTGAGCAGCAAAGTGCAGACTTTCGAGGAATTTATGGATGTTGGGTGGGTTGGAAAACAAAAAGTGCAATTCAGAAGATGTTCAATAACAATGCAGTGCAATGCAAAAAGAGCTGATAAATGACGGAACAAACGATTAGTCCAGAAGGGTAAGTGGGAAAAACAATCATCACAAGTTGGAAATTCTGTGAATCCTGGAAATAAAGAGAGAAAACGCTGCACATATTCAGGTCAGGCACATCCAAGGGGAGGAAAAGTAAACGTTGACAGCCTTGCATTAGAACTAGAAAAGTTTAGAATTGTTATGTGTTTTAGGTAAGTACAGCAAGAGTGAAAAGGTGACTAAGTGACAAAAGGATGCAGCAGTGCAAAGTCAAAGGAGATGCCGCTGGAACGACTGAAGGACCAAAGCCTAGTTCAGTGGAGGTGTAAATGGCATATCAACATAACCATCAGTTTTTATACAAAAGCAAAATAATATCAATTCTAAAAACTCCAAATGAGATCAGAAAATTTTGCAAATACTCAACTGGTCATCCAGCACCCATAGAAAAGAGAAGGATATTAGTCTACCTGTTGACCTTTCACCAGAACTCTTCATTCAGAATGTTCTGATGTTAGTTCACAGGCCTACATTGTTAACTCTTTTTCTCTCACCACTAATACATATGACTTGCTGAATATTTCCAGCACTTTTTCTGTTGTTATGTTACCATCACCACTATCTGAAAACAACTGGGGTCAGAAATTGTGAAGTGAAATTATTAAACTTAGTGTTGATTCCAAAAAATTAGAATTAAAAGTTTCTAATTGGAAGGTGAGATGTTGTTCCTCAAGCTTCAGTTGACCTTCATTGGAATAATATTGGAGGCCAAGGACACATCTGTCAGAGTGTGAATGGGTGGAGAACTGACAACGTAATTGGAAGCTTGGCGATCACATTTGCGCACTGATGGTGGTGTTCTGCATAGTGGTCACCCACCCAGTGTAGAGGGCACCACACTGTGGGCAGCTAATATAGTGTACTAAATTGAAAGAAATAAGTAAATTACGACTGGCTTTGGAATACTGGACAATGAGAAGGAAAAAGGAAAGCTTTTGTTTCTCCTTTCCTCACATGGATATGTGCTGTTGGAAGGAGAGGGGGTGATTGAGAAGTGTATCAGGTTCTGGTGGAGGAGATTGTCTATTAAGTGAGCAGAAAGGGTGGATGGGCACCTTGTGCGTTTGATGGCGATATCATGCTTGAGCTGGTGAAATGGAAGATGATGCGTTTAATTTGAAAATTTATGAGGAAAGTGAGGTTGAGGAGAATTCTCATGTGATTCTGGAGAGATCAAATAAGAACAGAAGAGCAAGAAATTGAAGATATACAATTAAGAAACCTGCAAAACAAATTGGAGAGGAATCGTTGGGTAAAGGGATTTAAATCATCCATGGTAATGCTGAGCAGATTTAATGATAAATTTAAGAGACTGGACAATGAGTGGGAAAAATAGAGTTGCAATAGGAAGAAATCAGTTCCACAAAGCAAAGAGACGATGAAATGATGGATCTGCCAAAACAATTGTGTTTGTGGATGAGGAATGAGGTAGAAATGGCTGTATGGGTTTCGGGAGCTATGAGGTTGGAAATTTTCTTCTACTGCTTCCAGAAGAGATTGGGTCAGTAGTTGTTTGATAATAGGATGACAGCCAACGGAGTAGAGTGAAATGTCAGAGAGCTGAAATTAAGCCAATTCAAGAGATGACAACAGACTAGTCGGACCAAGCCTTGTCCTCTGTTGTTTAATCCTGTGAACAACAGGCCGTTCCATGGGATACTATTTCAATGACAAAATGAAAGGAATTTAATCTCCAAAAAGTTTAATTTTAATTTAAGAAAGAAAAGTAACAGGCCATATTTCAGTCAATGTTTTGATTCATTTGCTTAAGCTGATATTTCAAAAAGAATGAAACTTTAAGGCACACGGGTACCTCTGGGTTTTGAATAGAAGCTTGTAGTACAAAAGCAAGGAAGGTATGGTGAACCTTTGCAAAACACTGGTTTGGCCTAGACTGGAGAATTGTGTCCAGTTTGATGCATCACATTTTAAGAAAGATATGAAGACATTAGAGGGGCTGCAGAAAAGATTTTCAAGACGGCTTCCAGGCCTTCAATTACTTGCGTAAACTAAAGAAGCTGAGACTATTCTTCTTGGAGAAGACAAGGTTAAAAGTTGTTACGGTAGGTTCGAGGTCATGAGGAGTCTTGGAGTAGATAGAACTGTCCCTGTTGGCAGAAGTGTCAAAAACCAGAAGCAATCAGTGACAAAAGAACCAAAGCAACATGAGGATAAGCTTTGTTACGCAGATCTGGAATGCGCTGCCTGAGAACATGATATAGACAGATTCTATTCATGCTTTTAAAATGGACAGAATCATATCATTTTCTTTTCTCTTTAGAAAATTGTTTATTATATAATTTTGCTGTAACGTGCCTCCTACCCCTGGATCTTTGAACTCCATCAGTGCATCCTTTTATTTCTTTCTTCTTCCCCATTTCATTTAAATAATTCAGCTGACCTACTGTATGTGGTAGTAAATTCCATATTATTGTTCTTTATGTTAATAAATTTTGTTTTGAGTTTTGTATTAAATTTATTAATGACTATCTCCTATTTATGGCCCCCAGTTTTGGCCTCTACTCAGAAATGGAAGCATTATTTTCTACATGTACCCTATAAAATAATTTCCAAATCATAACAATCTCTATTTGGACACAAACAACACACTTCCTCCCCCCACCCCTCTCTCACGTTGGAGGGAAATAATGTACAGAATGTAGAGCTTAGCATTCCATTTTCATTAAAATTTCACCTGACTGGGCACAGCTTTACATCATATGAAGGAATAGCAGCAAATGCACCAACACAATCATGGTTAGGCTTAATTATTTACCACTGCCACTGTGTGTTAATATAGCAAGTAGGTGAGCAGGTGAATGGGTTTCATCGATTAATTAATTGACTGGGTAACTCTTAAGGGGGAATCGATAGCAGTGGTCTATGGAAGGAGCTGTAAGACTCTTTAAGTTATTAGGGCTCTTGTGACGCAGTGGTAGAGTCCCTACATGGACCATGTCCCACATGCTCCAGAGGTGTGTCATAACATCCCTGAACAGATATAAGATTGGAAGTTAAAGGGTTCTTGTTGCACAGTGGTAGTGTCCCTACCTCTGAGCCTGGAAACCCAGGTTCAAGTTCCAGCTTCTCTAGAAGTGTGTGACAAACTCTCAGAACACATCTATTAGAAAATAAAAAAGGACTAAGTTAGGTAATTGTTATAGTACATCGGTTTAGTCCCTACCTCTGAGCCAGGAGGCACTGTTTCAAGCCCTACCTGCTCCAGAGGTGTGTAATAAAATCTCTGAGCAGGTTGTTTAAACAATATACAAAAACAAACTAAGTCTGTAAGTTATTATACTATATGAGGACAATCTTGAGTTCTGTCTTGACTGGCTTCGACCCAGATTGACATTGGTAGCAGAGGATGATTGTGTAAAAGTGAACATTGGAAACTGAGTCCTTTTCAGACAATTTATTATAGATGGAATTACTTTGGAGAAGGATGGCTGAAACCAAATACAAAGTGTCAGGAGGTTACTTCCCACAAATGTTATAAGGAGCTTAACTTCATAATCAAATAAAACTGAAGTGGACGTATGAACATCAGTTATGTCTTACCTGAAAAAAGGCAAAATATGGCCTCAGCACCTTGGCAAGGTCAGATGTTAATTTTTCTCAGAGCTAGACGCTCAACAGATGAGTACTGAGAAAGATTCAGAAATTCTATTGAAATTTATCACCAAAACATATAAATCACCTATTAAATGCATGAATCATAACCAGACTTTCTTTCGTTTAGAAAGCAGGACGCATATTCTATTGCAGAATATGGAAAGGAATTTAGCAGCTCATATGCAAGATTGAAAAAATCCTACTTTGAAATTCCTTAATTCAGTACTTGCCTTTAAATTGTTGGGTGATGCTAAGATGTCCAACAACTTACTGGAGTTAGATTTTCAGAAAGGTGCATGCTTCATGAATAGATGTTGGAGGCCTTAAAAAGAAGTCCTGAAAAGCATTTGTTTCCAGCGGTCATCTTGTTCAAATAGAATGGAAATTCAATGGTAGTGGTGAAGCCAGACTGCCCAGACACAGGCTGAAAGCATTCATACAAAAGGAGAATTATAATTAAAAGAAATGGGGTTAGTGCTACCTCTGGCACTACTTAAAAACACAAGTTAGGGAACTGTAACAAAAGAGTGAACCCTAGGAATGCCTGGGATATGATTGACAGCTGTTTAGATACAACTTGAGAAACCATTATGCAATGAATTGTCCTGAATGAAATAACAGGGTTTTCAAAATTACATGACATAGAAGGCTTGGCAAAAGAGGATGAAACTGATCAGACAGAGGAAATTTTACTAGATATAAGGGGTTTCAGCTCAGTAATGAAGGTTTTAGTTGCAAACTAATGCAGTTGCTCTGTGTTGGGCAAGAGTGTATGGAGTAGATCAGTTAAATAATAAAGATGAAGTAGAATTAAGGCATTTGAAAGTTCCGTCTGCTTCATCTTTGGGGATGACAATGTGCTGAAATCACTAAAAAATAATGGCTTCCTGTAAAATAGTTGAGGTAAACCACCTTATAAGCTTAGATGTAGCGTCAAATGAAATACACTTGCTGTAAAGGAAACTGTTAGGCTCAAATGAAACTGGAAATGGAACATAACAAGACAGTCACTTGAGGGAAGTCAGTGGATTTACAATTTACACAACTGGGCATTGTTGTATTATT